ACCCGACAGCCCCCTAAGGACCACCCTGAGGTCCCAAACCGGGGGCGTTCTCTGGAGCGGGAGCCTCCTCCTGCGCGGCCCCCGCAGAAAACGTTTAACCAACGGATGAGAGCGGGCTGTGAACCCCCCGAATCCGTCGTGACCCGAAGTAATGGCTGCCGCGAACACCGCCAAGGGGGCGACAACCCTCCCCTTGTCAAAGAGCTCCTGTAGGAATCCCAGGACCCCCTCCAGCGGGCAACGCCTGGGATCCCAGGAACGGAAACCGCACCAGTCGCTGAAGAGCCTCCACCTCGTGGCGTAGGCCCTCACAGTGGACGGCGCCCTCGCCCCCTGAGTGGTCTCCACCACCGCAGGGGGAAGACCCAGGTCTACGAGGTTCCGCCTCTCAGCCTCCAAACCCAGAGCCTGCGGCCGATTATCGGGCGTGAAAACAGGGCTCCTCCCCCCTGGACTAGAGCCCCCGGCTCGTCCGGGAGGGCCCAGGGCTCCATCACCGCCATGCCCCTCAGGAAGGGGAACCACCGGGCATGCGGACTGTCCGGAGCCACCGGGATCACCAACCTCCTCTCCTGTTCGATCCTCCACAGCAGGACCGGCAGGAGACGCACTGGTGGGAAAGCGCACAGCAGGCCCCAAGGCCAGGGGTAATGAGCCAGAGCGTCCACGCCTAAGGGCGGCTCGTCCGCGGCCCTTAAGGCGAACCAGGACGGGCACTGTGCGTTTTCTGCACTGGCGAAAAAGGTCGACCACTGGACGGCCGAACCTCCGCCAGATCTCCGCAGCTACCCGTGGGGCCAGGCCCCACTCGTCCTGGAGTGGGCCCCCCCTGGACATCCTGTTGGCCTCCACGTTCCGGACCCCCGGGACGTGGCGCGCCCTGAGAGACAGGAGGTGAAGCGCCGCCCACAGCAGCGTCACCGTCGCCATGCGATGGAGAGCGGGGGACCTGGTGCTGCCCTGCCTGTTCAGATAGGAGACCACTGTGGTGTTGTCTGAGCGCACCATCACGTGTCTCCCCTGCAGCTGAGGAGCAAAGTGCAGCAGTACTCTGTGCACTGCCTCCATCTCCAGCAGGTTGATGTGGCGGGCTGAGTCCGACCAGCAGCCTCCTACAGAGCTCTAGCTGAGGACCCCGCCCCATCCTTCGAGCGACGCGTCCGTGAACACCTCCACGTGAGACACGGCGCAGGCCAGAGTCACTCCGTCCCGCAATAGACCCGGAGTGAGCCAGAATCTGATGTCCGATGCTGCCACTTGGGGAACCCAGATCAGCCTCCCCCCGTCCCGGGAGGGGTGAAGCCTGAGGCGTGAGAACCACCTCTGAAAATTCCTCATGTGGCGAAGGCCTAGCCGCACCACAGCATGAGCCGCCGCCATCATTCCCAGCAGGGACCTGAGGCACCGAGCGGGGACTCTGGGGCCCGTCAGAACCTCCCTGGCCAGACGGGTAATGTTCATCCGTCTGTCCACGGACAATGCAGCACGGAATGTCACAGAGTCTAACTGCAGACCGAGATAAATCATGCGTTGAGCTGGCTGCAACTTGCTTTTCTCCCTGTTCACCACAAAGCCCAGACGCTGTATGTGGGACAGGAACCAGTGCGTGTGGCTCACGGCCACTTCCCTGGATGAGGCCAGAATTAACCAGTCGTCTATGTAGGTTAAAATTCTTACCCCTGCGCGTCTGAGCGGCTCCAGTGCTGCCTCCACGCATTTGGAAAAAGTCCGAGGCGCGAGTGCTTAGCCGAAGGGGAGACGGCAGTACTCGTAATTCCTCTCTCCCACTGCGAAGCGCAGAACCTCCTGTGTTCCGGCACTATCGGCACGTGGAAGTAAGCGTCTGTCAGGTCTATGGAGGACATCCAATCTCCCTGCCTGACACACTCGAGGAGCTGCTTTGTGGACAGCATCCGAAACTGCCGTTTGGAAATGCACTCGTTTAACACGCGCAGATCCAGAATGGGACGCACCCCGCCTGACTTCTTTGGCACTAAGAAGTAAGGGGAGTACAGCCCCCTGGTGGCGTCCTGCGGGTCTACCTCCACTGCTGCGCCTCGACTCAGCAGAGAGGAGACCTCCGCTTGTAGTGCCTCTGTCGATCCCCGTACCTGAGAGCGTACTGCCCGTACGCCTCGGAATGGTGGTGGCTTTCGGAAGAATTGCAGTGCGTAACCTCTGCGCAATGTTTTCTGCAGCCATAGATCTGTCAGCAAACCTTGCTCCCTCCAGATGCTGTAGAAGTCTGTGAGGGGCGGAACGGGAGCTGGAACACGAGACGTCACGGCCCCGCCCTCTCCTGGTGTTCCTAGCAGGGAGGGGGGGTGGACGAAAGGGCCGGGGGGGCCCCCTGCGTCACACCGTGAGCGCCGGGGGCGGTCACGTGTCCTGCAGGCCCGACGTCATAAGTACGGGACTGCTCATCCCACGTGACTCGGCTGCTGTGCCCCCCCCTGGCTCTTGCCTCATGGAGGGGGGGGCGAGCCCCTGGAGTGGGAAACCCCGTGTTAGCCTTGTAGCTCAGAGATGCTAACACGCGTTCGGCCGAAGCACACACACCACTACTCACCAGATCCCTCCGCCTGACCTCTCTCTGGGAGGGCATAGCCTGAACCAGTGAACCGGAGCTCGTAGCTCGCGTAGCGCACTGCAAACCCTGCTCTGGGGGCTGCAGGCCTAGCGAAGCAACGTTATGTGCTCGAGAAGTAACACAATCAGAATTCACAAGATTATTTGACATGTTACATACCCCCAAATGAGACTCAGACAGCGAGTAATGATGAAATGCCGGTCGGCCTTTATTGAAAGAATTCTTCCCACCCCGACCTCCTCTGCCATAGGGAGGTCGGCGGTGGGTGCGTTGGTCCCGCGAGCCTCCCGTGGGTCTGTCTGGACCCGGGGGCCTCGTCGAGGGGGGACGATAGGCCACGGAGCGTGGATATGGGTCAGGGCGCCTCCCGGGCGAACGCTCCCTGCCTCTGTCCCGGCTCCGCGCTGGTGGGCGGGCCTCGCGCCCCGGCGCTAAGTGCTGGGCTAGGCTAGCCGAGTCCTTGGCTGCGGTCTCCAGTCTAGCCACCAGGGTCTGCATGTCCGGACCGAAGAGGGACGTCTGAGAAACAGGCAGGTCCAGCAGCTGCCTCTTCTCCGCCTCTCTGATGTTAGCAAGCCCAAGCCAAAGGTGCCTGGCCCCGACTTGAGCTGCTGCCATGGAGCGGCCGCCATCGACAGCTAGCGCCTGGCACATGCGCAGGATCGCCGCTGAAGTGGTCCTCGCCTGTAATAAGGTGTCTCCACTGAGCGCCTGGCCAGAAGAGAGCGACCTATCCAGGGCCCCCGTGATGAAGGCCATGTTATTCGCCACAGCGACAACCTGTGCCGCATTGGCGTAACATCTGTCCAGCATAGCCATAGACGTCCTGTCCCGCTCGGAGGGAAGGAGAGGTCTGGTGCCGGGCCACACGGATGCGGAGGGCAGCAGGGCCATGCGGACTGAATCCTCGGTGTCCGGGCCACCATCCACGGCTAGCGTCTGGCACATGCGAAGGATCGCCGACGAGGTGGTCCTCGCCTGTGACAGGAGGTCTCCACTGAGCGCCTGGCCAGAGGAGAGCGCCCTATCCAGGGCCCCCGTGATGAAAGTCATGTTGTTAGCCAATGCGACGACCTGTGCCGCATTGGCATAATATCTATCCAGCATCGGCAAGACATCCTGTCCCGCTCGGAGGGAAGGAGAGGTCTGGTGCCGGGCCGCACGGATGCGAAGGGCTGCAGGGCCATGCGGACTGAATCCTCGATCACCGGTCCAGGACCAGTCCTGCCCGCTGCAGTACATGTCGTACCCCAGAGCAGGCCTCTTGGCTGCTAGGGGCTTAGGCCACTCACGTGTCGCGTAATGGACGAACGGGTCCATCCGCGGGCACAACGTGGGTTGCATCCTCCTCCTTCCTCGAGTGGTGGCACCCACAGAGGTGAAGTCCTCCACCGTCTGGATCCAGCGATGACGTCCGACGCCGGAGGGCGAAGGGAACTCGGACGAACAAGGAAGACATCTCAGAATGAAGTAAGTACTGTGGTAGATCTCAAACGGCGCCAGAGTGAAAGAGGGGGTGCGGCCTTGTGCAGGGGCCTTTATAGAGGAGGGTGGCTGGTGATTGGAGCAAATTATTTTGATCTCTCTGGCGTGTGACCTGGGGGTCACGAGTGATATCCCACTAGCAAAGTCCTAAGGGACGTAGCACCATGACGTAGAACCACTCAGCACTGGTCTGGTTAAGCCAGGGGTCTCCAACCTGTGGCTCGGGAGCTACCAGTAGCTCGCCAGCCCCTTTCAGGTAGCTCCCCAAAGGATTTATAATTTAATACATGATGCTGAACGAATACATTTTGAGCCAATGTCTAATAAAAGTATAAACTTAGGCTTATACAGTATTATGGTATATTTCATATGTGTTCTCCATGTTTTATTGTAATTATAGATGTTTAGTACAAATGCAAAAGTAGTAGCTCTCTGCCTCTTGTTTATTATTAAATAGCTCTCTTATTGAAAAAGGTTGGAGACCATGGTCAAAACACACACATTCACAACTCATAAAAAAACATATACAGTATATTATGACTACTGTTTGAGGAAATGCACTACTTTATTTGCCAAAAAACACCACAAGCTCAATATTTTACATGTTTAGCCACTGAATTAAACATGCTGCTGTATAATAGCCCAAGTAACTTTATAAAGCACTTTTGCTGCTCACTGCTGTGTGTTCCTAAGGTGCGGGGATATGGAACCTGTAATTCTAACAGATGTTGATAATTTAGCCACATCTTAAAATGTGATGCGCTGGGTGATTTTGACTTTTGTTTGTTTTTTACGCACATTCATGGAGCAGCGTTCGTAGTAGTCCTCTGATGAATGGTAGAGGTTGCGTAACACCCCTCCCTGTGTCTGTATAACACACAAGTGCTTCTTTTCCTGTGGCTCAAAGTTGGACTGGAGCAGAATCATGAAGACGCCTTTCCTGGAGCACTGGAGTCAACGCAAGCACAGAGATGAGGTTTTGGAGAGGAGGAAGCAACTCCAACTCACCCCTGCGCAACTGTGAGTTACTGCATGAAGCTGCAACATTAGGAAACGCTTTTTTCATTTCACAGTTTATAAACAGGGAAAGTATCTAACAAAATATGTTTTATTACTAAAAGTGTGGATGCATTTTTTGTTTATTTTGCGATAGTATAGATTTACATTAGTAGAAATCCCAAAGTAATGTAAGTAAGTTTGAGGATCCGGTGAATATTGAGAGTTGTTCAGTCTTTGCATTTGGGGGATGGCCCACTGCACGATGGTGAGAATGCATTGATGCAAATGGGATAAGATGTGGTTGTAAGTAATCAAGTCGAGAAAGATCAAAATTAGCCAATGGAGCTATATCTTCAGTGAATGAGTATAAAAATTGTAGAAATTGCATTTTAGATCAAACCTGCAGAGTTTTAGAATAGAGTCTGTCATGTTTTGGTACATGACATCCCCATAATCAATAATAGGTATAGTATAAATTGCTGTACAGTTGAATAACATATTTCAGATTCAGATTCAGTTTATTTGCCATTTGCAGTAAAAAAACCACATTGGAATACATTAGTAAAAAGTCTCCAGTGTGCACAGACAAATATTATCTTTATCATATTTATCTTTTGAGTAAAACAGTTTATCAATATCTAGAGTTGTCCAAGACATGCATAGGCCTTTTTGTTACACAGTGAATATGTGGTTCAAAGGTTAGTTCTGGATCATCCCAGATTACCAAATCTTTAAATTTATTTGTTGTTTCCAGGTGACTACAATCAGAAGAATATAAAGAATCAGCCTGTAGGATTGAACATGTTTGGCAAAAAGCTGAAGATCTGTTTGAAGAGAATCTTCAATATAATTTAAATCTTTTTACTAGACCTAGATTATGGTGTAATTCACATAAAAATTATTAACACAGACTGAAAATAGTAATGTCCCCAGAGACAGCCGTGGGGAACCCCTTGGCTGTTTCAGAAGATATGCCCTGTACAGTAACAAATTGTTTCCAGCTAATTATTGTGTAAAAAGCCAAGAATGAATCAGACCACAACATTTTCATCTTTTGCATAATTGTAAGAAAGACCCCTGTGAGACACTATTTGACATTTCAGGCTGAGAGCTGATCCGTCTGAAAAAGCTTAACAAACCAAGATGGATCTATTTTAGTTATTGTTTTTTGAAAGTTAGGTACCCCAGTTTTTATCAGGAGGCTGGGTGTGCTGGATGAGTTTAACATACTTTACATTTCACATCACCACCCAGCAAAATGTGGAGAACATGTTTATAAAGAAAAAGCATGTATCCACAAATATTTATATGGGACCAGTCTAAATGTGTAATCAAAAGTCGGCTCAACCTGTCTTGTGCACACTGGGGACTTCAGCGGATGTATTCCAATGTGGTTTTACTACAAATGGAAAATAAATGAATCCGAATATGAATCAATCTTTCTCCGTGTAACATTTCTTTGAGTAACAACAGGAGCTCACTAAGAGTATTATGGTTTGGCTTATTTCACGGTGGATAAAAGCATTTTACTCGGCTTCCTTGTCTGGCTTGAAATGTTGTTATTTCTCTCAACAGTAGCTTTCATTTGCCTGGGTTTGAACATGATGTCACTAGTGCAGTGAAAGTGATGGCCGTTGAAACAATATGATTTCCCATTGAGCTGATCAGTCTGAAAAGGTTGTAACGTGTAAATCCATATTTGCAAGCCTGATAGTTTGCTATTGGCAGCCACTGTAAGGATCAGAATATTCAGGGGTTATGTAATGTTTGTCCACCCTCATCAGGACCCCTGTCAGTCTTTGGATCCTGAGCGCACGTCAGCTGTCCCAAAATAAACAAAACAAAAATTTCCCTTTTCTTATTTTTTTTTTGGCCAGAATATCTGGTTTGTGCAATTGCTACATGAAACATTGCAAAAAACAAACAAGTTCATCAGTGATTGATTTAAGAAGTGTGTATCTTGATTTTAGTGTGTGTTTTTGGAATCGGAATAAACTGAAAACACATGTGTTCTAGGTGAGAATGTATCTGGATAGCGATACCCTAGATATTATATTATTATAGATCCATTATTTCTTGTTTCAGGTCTAGTTTGTCCGGTGACAGTGATGTTCGAGCAGCGCTGCAGAAAAGCCATGTGGCCTCTCTGCTGCCACCTGCTGGTACTAAGGTGTTCCGACGCTTCACTGCAGGATCACTGGAGAAGATTAACCTAAATAAGGACCTAAAGAAAAAACACGTGAGCATAAACAAATAAAGTGTGTGGTGTTACTAATGATTCAGTTTACAGGGACTTTGGATCATTAACAAATACAATACATTATACAATTTTTTGCATTTAACTGTCCATGGCATAATGTCTATAGGGGCATTGCACACACTCACAAGTAAGTTATGTTTATTTATATTGCGTGTTTCAGAGTTCAGATATTGTTCCATTCTCTCCACACTGCCGCATCAAAGCCCCCAACCAACATCATCCATTCACCTGCTCATTACATTCATACCTACTGTCCACGTTTTTAGTGGTAAGAGAAACTAGAGCACCCGAAGGAAAAATATGCAGACACAGTTGGAACATGAAAACTCCACACAGAAAGGCCTGGACATGGAATAGAACTCAGAACCTTCCTGCTTTGAAACACAAGCTCTAACCGCTTCACCACCGTGTCACCCAAAGCTGATTTCAGCCCCGATTTTTGCCTTCCAAAAATCTTAAGGACATGTGGCCAATTAGAAAGATACAAGAATTTATTTGCCATTTGCAGTAAAACCACATTGGAAAAACTGTGCAAGACTACCCCAGTGTGTACTGTACAAGACAGAGATTGCGGCCACACACTAGAGCTCTTGCCACGGCACCAGTAACATACATTTCAAAAAGACATTTTGGATAGAGACGGTATGTCTTGGACAAGACGTGGACATTTTTCTTTAGGATATAAACACCAGCAATGAGTGCATACACACCAGCAGTGAGTGCGTACACAGCCGCAGTGAGTGCATATACACCAGCAGTGAGTGCATACACACCAGCAGTGAGTGCATGCACAGCAGCAGTGAGTGCATACACAGCCGCAGTGAGTGCATACACAGCCGCAGTGAGTGCATACACAGCCGCAGTGAGTGCATACACACCAGCAGTGAGCGCAGAGGGGAGGACTGATGTATAGCAGCAAAAGCCAGATGTCTATGTTTGTCGTCATGGTCAAACAACGTTCAGAATCACTGTCAAACCTGCCAGTCCTTCCTCTAATGTTTTACACAAGTGTTGTGGGCGTGTGGAGCAAATCTATGTCAAAGACCATGAGCAAAAGCATATTTTTCATGTATTTTGTCTGAAAGCTGCGACATATTTTGGGCTGATGAGTGGTGCACACTGATGTGATTTGACAGAAACAAATGCATGCATGAGTTGATGTGGAAACTGATGGAACCAAGCTGTTTTGAGATATAGAAACGTGCTACATGGATTTCATTACATAGTTTGTAATTAAATCTATGTAATAGTTTTTTTGTGATTTGAAAATTATGAATGAATAATACATTCCAAACAGGATGAAAAGGATTGCTGCCTGAAGCCAACACCTGAACTGCAGTCTGAAACAGCTCTGCCATTTTTCCTGGGTGCCCCGCCCCCGGAGCTTCAGAATGTCCCATTGGAAGATCTGGACCCGTTCTACCAATCACAAAAGGTGTCACTTTCAAAAGTTTTTACAGTTAGCAAGATTATAACAGACTGATGACCACAATACCAGTTCAATCAGTTGTGATCAGATACCAAGTTATTCTAAGGTATTTTAGAGATACCTGTAAGCATCAAGAGAATGCACTTAAACTTTATAATAATAATAAATTTAGGGTCAATATCGATAGTTTTTCAAGCAACTTATTCCAATGTTATTTATTTGCAGTGAAAGTGAACATACTGTGTGGGTGTTGCAACTTAGAATAGGTAGGTAGGCAGGACTAGCCTAATACTGATATCAATACATCAATACTGGTCATTACCAGTAGATTAAAGGTTCTGGAGCATCCCCAAAATCTACAAAAAACTCAGAGGTGTCCAGGTCTGAGGTGCGTTTATTTGCAGAGAGATTCAAGTCTGTTAATAATGTCTTGGGGTTTAGTCCTGAGAAAATAAATAATATGTTTAATTAGTAATGAGCAGTTGGTGAAAGCTATCTGATAAAAATGGCTTTACTCATACACCTCCTCACACTTTTTGTTTATCATTATCTGAAAATTGGCTCTGAAAGCATAGATTCTGCCAGAATGTGAAAACGAATGAGCTGTAGGTGATATGTCTTGGCATTACGAAAGACTCTTGTAAAATAAACAAGCCCTTGAAAAGACAAATGCACTGAACTCCTCGCCTCTCCCCTTTGATCCCGCAGACATTTGTCGTGGTTTCTGGAGACGTTCTCACCAGGTTCAACGCAGGGTCGTCCTTCTTCAACTTCAGTCCACTCAGTTTGTTCAGACGTTTGGCCATCAAGATCCTCAACCACAAATATCCTTTTCATAAATAGACACATAAATAGGTAGATAGATACTTTATGAATCCCTGTTGGAGAAAAAAAGCTGTCCAGTAGGAGCAGCTGTCCAGTAGCAGCAGAACCACATCCATCCATACAAACGAAACAAATAAATAAATAATTCTAAAAGTAGCTAACAATAGTATTAAAATGCAGTAGCACTTTAGTTCACAGCAGCAGAGATGGAGTAGCCGCTGGGGGGATTAGGATTGGTCACAGCAGCAGAGGTCATCTTCATTACTTTATTTGCGGGAAAAGAGTAGTTTAACAGTAGTTGTAAAGCATTCAAGAGGCTAACGTATTGCCTCATGATAATAATACATGTTGTCGCACCCAACAAAAAAGGTCTTGTAAAAGAAAAATGCTGGGAACAAATCAGACCACAACATCTGGACTGCTCTTGCCAGAAAGAGCCCTGCGAGTCACTATTTGACACTTTAGGCTGATAAAGCTGATCTAAATATGTCACAGAGGTAAAAAAAATAATATAAAACATGAATAGACAGCACCGTACAATACTTGTTTAGACAAGTGGCGATGGGTGATAAGTCGAATCTTAAATCTAATCCATTAAGTCCAGAGCATTTGAGTGATGCTGATTCAGGGGCGGTTCTGGGCCGTACACTGAAAAAAGTCAAATCTTGGTAAGATTTATTTACTATAAATGACATAAGTAATTTTTCTTACTTCCATACAACTTTTCTTGTTGTTTAGATAAAATAAGTATGTTATGTTATACTTTAAGAAATGAGTAAATAATACTTGTAATAAATGTTTTTTTTTAAATGCTAGAATCAAGTCGTTTGGGCCTAGTGTTGCTTTCTTATTTTCAGAAATTCATATTTTCTTGTTCTATTGGCAGATATTTTTTCTTACTCTATGCAGTACATTACTTATTTTCACAATTTTTTCAAATTTTTTTCCAAGGGAATTTTTCCAGTATCAGTTCAATTTTCCATCAGAACAGGGCCTTTGACCGTAACCATAGCAACACACTTGTTTACTAGTAGCACTTAGCATCCAATAGCTTTACCTATTTATACCTGCTCAATTATTCATTCATTCATTCTCGTCTCCTTTATCCATGCTTGGGTCAGCCTCTAACTGGTCCCCTGGCAGGTGGGCGGGTCCACAGGAGGATGGCTGCTTCATCTGCGAAGCCCCCGCTGCGCTTTCAGGCAGAGCGGGGTTACGTGTCTTGCTCAGGGACACACTGACAGCAGATGGGAGCAGATATACAACACGTGGGGGGATTGAACCCACAACTATTACCCTCGAAGATCAATGCTCTACCAACTGAGCCACTTTCTAAATCTACTGATTAAAGTTTATAAAACTAAAGTCACAAGTTGGTTTTGACCCTTTATATTTTTACATCTTCCCTAGTGGCGAAAAGACTAAGTCCAAAAAATACGGCAACCTTTCTTATTGCTGTCATGGCATTTCAACACAAGGTCAAAAACACAGGTCTACTTTAGTTTGGTCTTGTGTGCTTGTGTGTTGCTGGTTTGTGTAACAAAAGTATGAATAAAGTTTGCACTTTTATACATTTTCTATACAAGGGATTACAACCATAAACATACATAATGTAATTAATTTCTTTACTGAAAGTTAACACAGAGGTAACAGACAATTGTGAAATGAAAGCAAAATGATTAATGATTTTGTTATTCTTCAAAAAAAAGAAAACCAAAATGTTGGGCAAGCACAAATATACAGCATGAGTTATTACATTGTGGAACCCCCCCTTTTCAGCAACATTAGCAGCAAGTCTCCTTGGATATGACTCTACAGGATTTGCACATCTGGAGAGAGAACATTTAGCCAATTCCTAGATGGAGAGCGTTTGTGAAAAGCAGTTTTCAGGTCTTTCCAAAGATTTAGGTCTGGACTTTGACTGGGTGAATAGGTTTTGTTTTAAACCCTTTCATTGTAGATTTAGCTTTGTGTTTATTGTCATTGTCCAGCAGCTGTAATGTGAATCCTCCATAATTGTGTAGAGTGCGACTGATAGTTGTCCCATGTACAGATTCCTCTTGTGCTCCATGGCCTCATGATTTTGTTTTTGTGACCAATGTTCTAATAATGAGAGTAGATTACACACAGTTTACGTCTATTTAATCATCAGGGCAAGATGTGAACATTCAGCAGTTATTAGGAATGTTTTTAAAGACAATTTAATGACCTCAGAAAAACAGCTGTTTGAATAGGTCTAACTTTTCACTATTCTATTTTCAAAATAATAACAGAATCCAGCCATCCATTTTCTTCCCCTTTGTACATTTGCAGTGAGCTGCCACCCAGTTCACAGAGCACCAGCTCCTCACTGATCCTCCTGCAGGTGGTGAGTCCACGGGAGGATAGCTGCTCTGTCAGTGACAGCATAGCCTTGATCTTTCAGCAGTGTTGGGCACGTTACTTTGAAAAAGTAATTAGTTATAGTTACTAGTTACTTCTCCCAAAAAGTCACTGAGTTACTAACGGAGTTACTCCACTATAAAAGTAACTATTTACCAGTAAAAGTAACTATTGCGTTACTTTTTCGTTTTGTTCTGGAACATAATGTGCACCCGACGTGCGCATTTTTACCTTTAACAGTGCCAATATTTCCATCTAGAAAAGGCTGTTTTGCTGCTGAAGTCCTGTTCACTCTTCATCTCTCTCTGTGCTGTAAAGCCCGCCACTGTGAATGTGGAAACACCGGTGACGAGCGGTGAGGCTGGTGAAGCACTGACTTCAGTCCAATCAGATGAACATATACATCATATAAATCAAGTGGACAATTTGTTTGGCTACAGCAAAATATGTTTCATGCCCGCGTTGTTTGTTCATACAAAACGCAAAACTGTGAGTTATGGGTCTTACCTTATAGCTATACCTTATAAATGACCTGCACAGTCCACTTCGGTTCAGACCAGTTCCATGTTTAAGTCCAGATAATAGTTTGAGCACAGACATGTAATCCTCCATTTGGAAATGAGTCCAATGAGTTTTAAAAAGTAAAACAAAACGCGTGTGTCCTCCATAAACTCCTGTTTTGCTAGCGGCAGCTGGGTGCATCCAATTTCTAAAATCAACCGTCTTACACTTCACCTCTCTTTCTTATCATTTCTATAGTAATTGAAAAATTACCCTATGTGCATTTTAGATTATGTAAAAATGTGTTATATGTATGTTAGCCAAACCTGTTGCTGTCCTTAGCAGATAAACCAGGAAGAGCAAGGAGCTTATCGATGGAATTGTATGCAGCCTTCTGCGCTCACATGCGCTCCTCTGTGGCTGACCTCACGGTGATACAAGCCGTGGTTGAGCGCGATTAAGACCAATATTTGTTTCAAAAACACAATTTATTACCATCCTCTCAACTGTAGACATGTGGATTGTAAAGGAAATATGTTTTACATCAGCCAATAATTGCTGAGAGGTTTTCTCATCCTCCCTTCTCTCATGACAACACGTTCATTGTGCGTCTTGAGTAACGCGCAGTAACGGGATGTCGGAAATGATAACGGCGTTATAGTTACTGTCAAAGTAATTAGTTAGATTACTCGTTACTGAAAAAAGTAACGGCGTTAGTAACGCCGTTACTAGTAACGCCGTTATTCCCATCACTGTCTTTCAGTGGGGGCTCAAACCCACGACCTTCAGGCTCAAAGGCCATAGCTCTGCCAAAGGACTGAATCATGTATTATTTTACATCTGTTACTTGGGTGTGAACCTAATAAAAAAAAAATGTATATCAATAAGGTTAAATACTTGATCTTGGTCAGAATCAGATACATTTGTGTATTTTCTATGTCCTTAACCTTTTCCTCACGCTGTTCACTTTCCTCCTGTTGGTGGCGCTATTGGCGAACATGTTTTTCAACGTTCCAGATGAGGCTTGGAAACTCATTGTGGAGTAAGTACTGTACATGAGTAAGTATGGTGGCTCTGTTGTCCTCTTACAACATCCAGTGTTTGATTCCAGAAAGCTGTGGGGGATTTTCTGAGTGGAGTTTGCATGTTCTCCTACTGCCTATGTGGATTTCCACTAATAAATGTTATGAGGTTGCTTATTTTCTCAGTTATTACCCTTATGCTGGCTAGATGAATGTTTGTAATAGTTTTACCTAAGTCAGGTGAGATTTTGGGAAAGAAAAACATCTTTATCGATGGCCACAAGAAAACAAGAAAATGGCGAACAAGGCAGCATTTGACAGCCCACATCTCTACTGTGTTGTTACAGATGGACAAAAAACAAACAAAAAGGCATCCCTGTTAATATTCAGCAGTAAAAAATGAATTTATCGGAAACATAAATGCTCGTAGGTAAGTTAGAAACATACAATACAATACAATACAATACAATTTATTCTTGTATAGCCCTAAATCACAACAGAAGTCATCTCAGGGGACTTAACAAAACTATTGAAATCACCAACACAGATCAGAGAATCAACAGTTAAGACACAAAAAGAATATAGAACACATGTCTTCAGAATGTTAAAGTGTCCTGGATCCTCACCACATCCTCTTTGTTGGACACTAACTGCCCAACGGACCCTCCTGCATCGGCAAGGAAAAACTCACAAAACCCAGTGGGAAAAAAGTGAGAAACCTCGGGGAGACCCACATATTGAGAAAGGGATCCACACGGACGGACGGGCTATTGATCCAGGACCTAAGCTACAAAACGTGGAAAGCAGGACTGAAGCACTCCCAGGCGGGTCGGGCGGGGCTGTCACGTGATGAAATGATAGAGGACCCAAAATGCAGGAATGCAATAAATAAGGGTTTAATGATAAAAAAGGCCAGATGAAACCAACTCAAAAACCAAAACAGGACTAGGAACAGGACGGAAACAGACAGAGACATGAAAAAGACAAGACAGGACGTAGACAAGACAGAATCGACCAGCCACATTTTGGACTCAGCGGAATGCTTTATTTTTTTCCACCCACACCTGCTCCCAGTTTGCCACCAGGTTTCTATTTGGTATTTTTTCTCTGCCATCTCCACTGCCTGCCTCTACCTGCTACCTCGAGCCACCGCCAGGCAAGAATTCCGTCTGGGGTGTTTTTTTTGTCCACGCACCACCGCCGGGCATTAATCTCCGTCCGGGGTGGTCCTGTTTCCTCCCCCTGTCCGATGAGAGAAAGGTACCCAGTGGAGCCCTGGCATGATTGTTCCCGTCTGCCTGGATTTCCCCACCTGTGTCCGCCTGATACCCTTTGATGACCTCTCCTTCCCTTCGCCTGTTGCCACCGCCAGACAGTTCCGTCTGAGGTGGTTTTGTTCCTGTCTGCCGTCACCGCCGGGCATTTGTCTCGCCCGGGGTGAGCCAGTTCCGTGTGGAAGGTTACCACTGGGCTTCAGCTCCTGCCCCTGCATGTTCTGGCCTCTGAACTGCCCCTGGCCTGTCCTCCAGACCCCTCCGCCCTCCCTGCCTCGCTTTTGTTCTTGGGACATCTGGGAGCTGTCCGTTGGAGGGGGGGGTACTGTCATGGTGTGGATTTTGTTATTTTGGACTTTAGCTTTATTTTGATATCTGTTCTCTGTGCTTTGGTTTTAGTTTGACTTTGACGTCCTGTTTTCCCTGTCTTGATTGTCTGTCCCGCCCTGATGTGTTTAACCTGTGTCTCTGTCTATAATTACCCTGTGCGCCTCTCCTCTTGTTGCTGGTCCATTGTATTGTCAACTTCTGTTCCGTCCTGTTCCTGGTTCTGTATTTTGGATTTTGAGTTTTGTTTTCACCTGGACATTTACAGTGCCTTGCGAAAGTATTTGGCCCCCTTGAACCTTTCAAAATTTCGCCACATTTCAGGCTTCAAACATAAAGATATAAACATTTAATTTTTTGTCATGAATCAACAACAAGTGGGACACAATCGTGAAGTGGAACGAAATTTATTGGATAATTTATACTTTTTTAACAAATAAAAAACTGAAAAGTGGGGCGTGCAATATTATTCGGCCCCTTTACTTTCAGTGCAGCAAACTCAGTCCAGAAGTTCAGTGAGGATCTTTGAATGATCCAATGTTGTCCTAAATGACTGATGATGATAAATAGAATGCACCTGTGTGTAATCAAGTCTCCGTATAAATGCACCTGCTCTTTGATAGTCTCAGGGTTCTGTTTAAAGCACAGAGAGAACCATGAAGACAAAGGAACACACCAGGCAGGTCCGAGATACTGTTGTGGAGATGTTTAAAGCCGGATTTGGATATACAAAGATTTCCCAAGCTTTAAACATCTCAAGGAGCACTGTGTAAGCAATTATATTGAAATGGAAGGAGTATCAGACCACTGCAAATCTACCAAGACCCGGCCGTCCCTCCAAACTTTCATCTCAAACAAGGAGAAGACTGATCAGAGATGCAGCCAAGAGGCCCATGATCACACTGGATGAACTGCAGATAACTACAACTGAGGTGAGAGAGTCTGTCCATAGGACAACAATCAGTCGTGCACTGCACAAATCTGGCCTTTATGGAAGAGTGGCAAGAAGAAAGCCATTTCTCAAAGATATCCAAAAAAGTCTTGTTTAAAGTTTGCCACAAGCCACCTGGGAGACACACCAAACATGAGGAAGAAGGTGCTCTGGTCAGATGAAACCAAAATTGAACTTTTTGGCCACAATGCAAAACAATATGTTTGCCGTAAAAGCAACACAGCTCATCACCCTGAACACACCATCCCCACTGTCAAACATGGTGGTGGCAGCATCATGCTTTGGGCCTGCTTTTCTTCAGCAGGGACAGGGAAGATGGCTAAAATTGATGGGAAGATGGATGGAGCCAAATACAGGACCATTCTGGAAGAAAACCTGTTGGAGTCTGCAAAAGACCTGAGACTGGGACGGAGATTTATCTTCCAACAGGACAATGATCCAAAACATAAAGCCAAATCTACAATGGAATGGTTCACAAATAGACGTATCCAGGTGTTAGAATGGCCAAGTCAAAGTCCAGACCTGAATCCAATCGAGAATCTGTGGAAAGAGCTGAAAACTGCTGTTCACAAACGCTCTCCATCCAACCTCACTGAGCTCGAGCTGTTTTGCAAGGAAGAATGGGAAAGAATTCCAGTCTCTCGATGTGCAAAACTGATAGAGACATACCCCAAGCGACTTGCAGCTGTAATTGCAGCAAAAGGTGGCGCTACAAAGTATTAACGCAAGGGGCCGAATAATATTGCACGCCCCACTTTTTAGTATTTTATTTGTTAAAAAAGTTTAAATTATCCAATAAATTTTGTTCCACTTCACGATTGTGTCCCACTTGTTGTTGATTCTTGACAAAAAAAAATGATTTTTATATCTTTAAGTTTGAAGCCTGAAATGTGGCGAAATGTTGAAAGGTTCAAGGGGGCTGAATACTTTCGTAAGGCACTGTATTTTATTAAATCATTATTTTTTGCATTCCTGCATTTTGGGTCTTCTATCATCTCACTCCGTGACAGGGGCAGTCCGCAGGTGTAGATGGAGGAGGCCAGATTCCCATCGTCGTACCATGAAACAGACAATGGGACAACGGGTGAATTGCAATGAACAAACTACAGTCAAAATCCTAATAATGCAAAACGGATAAAGTAGGAAGGAGGAGAGGATAGTGCTCAAGTTACCATACTTCTCCCAGCAAACTGACTCCCTATGCAGCTTGATTGCTTCCTTAACGTGGATGGGAATCTGATTCCACAGTAAAAGAGCTTGGAGCTAAATTCTGCTTTTTGAAACCTTAGGGACCACCAGACGTCTGGCGTTTTGTGAGCGCAGTGCTCGGTTTGGTTGATAAGACATTAACATGTCTTGAAGATAAGAAGGAGCCAAGCCATTTATGGCTTTTTATGTTAAGAGAAGGATTTTAAACTTTATTCTGTACTCCACAGGGAGCCAGAGGAGTGATTTTAACACCGGAGTTATGGGCTCCCTCCTTTTGGTACCTGTTAAGATCCTAGCTGCTGTATTCTGAACGAGCTGGAAGCTCTTCAAAGAGGTTTTAGGGCATGCTGCCAGCAAAGCGTCAAAGTAGTCAAGCTTTGAGGTGACAAACGTGTGGATTAGTTTTTTGGCGTCACTTTTAGGAAGAATATTCCTGATTTCAGCTATGAAGTTGCTTGGTTTATATAAGCCTTAAACATCTACATAGAAGTACCCAATTTTATTTAAAATTGTGTGCACCAAATTGGCTTGACCAAAGCAACTGAAACGCTACAATACACCATAGGGCGTATACTAGGAGTGGACGGGCCGACTGCTGATGTCACTGTAGTGTTTGCCAAATGTGGAAGAAGCCAATTTGAACACAAGCTAGCTGGAGCCCATTTCCTTATATGAGCATTTCTTCCGACAGGGTGAGCTTTGTGCCTGGCGTTTACCCCCATGAAAGAAGGCATCTGATAGGTCACTCCTTACATGGCTCATATCTGGACTTACAAAGACAATATTAAATAAAAAATGGTAAACACCAGGATCACAGAGAGCGTTATTGTTATACCACAGTGTTTAAACACAATCTACTGAAAAAATGTCAGGGTTAGGGGGTCAAAATCCCAAAATGAAAAATCAAAAAGCTCCCCCCAAATGTAATATTGCTGTTCCAAATGTAATTTTCATAGAAATGCGGGACTCATTTTAATCTTGGTATTTCATCCTGCTCAGTGAGTAAGTTATTGTTGTTTTTTGTGGTTCAGTATTGTTTTGTCCCAAATAGGCAAACAAATGTATTATAGGCAAACAAATGTATTATAGGCAAACAAATGTCTTGTGAATGATTAAATTAATGAAAGATATGATCATTGTAACATTCAAATCTAACCTATGGAGAAGAAGATGACATAGACCCTCCAGCGGGCCCCATGTCAAGTTCTCCTTTCCCCCGAACAAAGCCACAGTTTGCATTTTTACCCAGGCAAGGGAGGGGTGAAGGGAAGGATGAGAAAGAGAAGGGAGAGAGAGGAAGGGAGGATACAAAGAGAAATTAACACAGTGACTCTCTGTATGTGTGTTCAGGTTTCTCTATATGTATTTTGTTATTAACCTAATTAATTGTCATTTTCAAATAAAGATTAAAGGTGGGGTTTTTAAAAACTTTTAAAAATATATATTTTTCATTTTTTTAATTTTGAACACTTTTTCAATTACGCTAGCTGTTTTGTCTATTATCATTGCTCATCCATCAATGTTTTATTCTTTATTGAAATTATGGATGTTTTCACAAGTCAAACTCTATAATATAAAACATCTCCAGGTCGTGGAGATTGTAAACAAATTACTGGTTGACACTTTAGTTTTAAAAGACTGAGGATGATGATTGAGTGGAGCTTTCAGACAGGAAGGGGCAGACAGGAATGATAATAGAGTTGACATGCTTTTGCCAGAATTTCATATTATTATTGTAATTAACAGTGTAGATGGATTTAAAAACAATTCCAGGAGTTATGCAACCCTTGAAAAGTAAGTAAGTTTAAGTAATAAATATTTATGTCGCACATTTAACAGACCAAGGTTACACAAAGGGCTTTTGGTGCTTTCATTTCTCCACGACTTTAGCTTGTTTTGCTCAAAATGAGCCACACTTGTGGGACTTTTCCTGGCTCATAAGTCTGTTTTTAGTCCCAGCATTGTAGAGAGTGAAGTTCTTTTGTGAGAGTAAACAGCTGCTGGATTCTGGGAAATGTCAGCGTGTCATTTGGGAAAGTAAGCCTGGGGCAATTGCGAAACTTTTAAACAAAAAGGAGATTTTAACCGTCGGCCAAAGAATGTCAGAAGACAGAGAGCTCAAAGTCTACAGTGAAGAGAAATGTGAAGAGAAATATGTGACTAATGAGAATAAGGCAACTGCAGAGAGGAGACTAGAGTGGAGAGAAACACTGGCCAAAAAACAGGCAGTGTTTGCGCAATATCAAATAGTAAACACATTATGGTTACAATTAGCTGTTTTATGAATAATGTGGCCACCAACTCTCTCCTTTTCTCCATTTATGCAAGTTTAAAAGATCCTTGTCTTGTTCATTCAAAACCCAATTTGTCTCTCACAATCTATTCTGTCACTGTAATATGCACTTTTCTGCACTAAGTGAGTTGTCTTTGTACTCACTTTGCTGTAGAAGAGCAGTTTTCAATGTTTGACCAATATAGGTTTTCTGAGGCTGATTATGCAATTTTCTATAGGTGATTTATTTATTTATTTCAAAAAAGGCTAGCCCCTTGAGATGCAGCATCTCATTTGCGAGGGGGTATGATACCTATGGTTTGTTGTTGATTCTGTTCCAGGTGGGTTAGATTTCACAAACAAACTGAGATGGAGCTTCTGTTAAAGTGAATGTCAGTAACTATGTAACAGTAAATGGTTAGTGTTTAGAGTGAATGAAAGTTTTAATGACAAGCACTGGTTAGCCCCGCCCTTGCTCTTCCCCGCAGCTTCCTGATTGTTCGAAATTGAATCACATTCTTGAGGCCCCTCATCCTTTGTTGAACTGTTCTCCTCCTGCAAACCTCACTGGTTGTAGTTGTACACAATTATACACTGTCCCATGGTCACAAATGCAAATGTAGATTTTTACGAACATAATTAATAGAGTTTGCTGTAATTGAAATAGACCTGGAACTAAGGGAAAGATGTATGAGTTTTATAGACTGATTTGACAGATTTTGGAATAATTACATTCTATATTTGGTTTGGATTCATTGGTTGGATTCAAATGAATGAAGTAGGCAACAGGCAATATGGTAGACATTTCAAAAACTAAAATAATCTGCCCGGGCAATCTCAATTGTTTCTATTCTCTCATTTAATTTAAAACAATTGCTAATCTGCATCTGTTTTTCCTGTTTATAGAATTACCCTTTTGTCTATTTACACTACGGAGGCGGTGCTGAAAATCTTATCCAGAGGGTTTTGCTTTGGACCCTTCACTTACCTCCGAGACTCCTGGAACAGACTGGACTTGTTCATCATTCTCTCTGGGTAAACAAACTATCGTGTGTATCTGTTGTCTTTGTAAATGATTGTATTAAAGACACAGATTAAGAAAAGGAACTGTCACTGTGTTTACGTGATAGAATCTGAATCTTGCCCTGTCCTGTTTGGATAAAAAACTAAAAAATACATGTATACTGAGACTAGAGTGGTCTGAGTCTGCATGTATACTGAGACTAGACTGGTCTGAGTCTGCATGTATACTGAGACTAGACTGGTCTGAGTCTGCATGTATACTGAGACTAGAGTGGTCTGAGCCTGCATGTATACTGAGACTAGAGTGGTCTGAGTCTGCTGCATGTATACTGAGACTAGAGTGGTCTGAGTCTGCATGTATACTGAGACTAGAGTGGTCTGAGTCTGCTGCATGTATACTGAGACAAGAGTGGTCTGAGCCTGCTGCATGTATACTGAGACTAGAGTGGTCTGAGTCTGCATGTATACTGAGACTAGAGTGGTCTGAGTCTGCATGTATACTGAGACTAGAGTGGTCTGAGCCTGCTGCATGTATACTGAGACTAGAGTGGTCTGAGCCTGCTGCATGTATACTGAGACTAGAGTGGTCTGAGCCTGCTGCATGTATACTGAGACTAGAGTGGTCTGAGTCTGATGTCTAGACTATGTATACTGAGACTAGAGTGGTCTGAGCCTGCTGCATGTATACTGAGACTAGAGTGGTCTGAGCCTGCTGCATGTATACTGAGACTAGAGTGGTCTGAGCCTGCTGCATGTATACTGAGACTAGAGTGGTCTGAGTCTGCATGTATACTGAGACTAGAGTGGTCTGAGCCTGCTGCATGTATACTGAGACTAGAGTGGTCTGAGCCTGCTGCATGTATACTGAGACTAGAGTGGTCTGAGCCTGCTGCATGTTATACTGAGACTAGAGTGGTCTGAGTCTGCATGTATACTGAGACTAGAGTGGTCTGAGCCTGCTGCATGTATACTGAGACTAGACTGGTCTGAGCCTGCTGCATGTATACTGAGACTAGACTGGTCTGAGTCTGCATGCTTGGTCTGATCTGATAATGCAATAGCGACATTTCCAATTTTCCATTGGCTACATAATTAAGAGTATGGATTTGTATGGGTCAAATATTAAAACAAAATATAGAAGCCCACATTTTAACCCCAAATGCATCACTATAGAACACATGAATGTATGAAGCGATCATATACATGGTAAAATTTGGTAAAAGAAAAGTTTCCATTTTTTGTACTTTTTTGTTGTGTAAACTAGACTACATTAAAAAATAATAATAGTGTGACTATATACAACAGGTATGCATGTAGAGTAAGACTAACCCTAACCCTAACCCAAATTAAAAAAAAATCTTTGCCAGATACCACACTGTTAAAATAAACATTAACAGTCGGTATTGTCTAAAAAATGTAATTTAAATCTAATATTTTTTGCAGTTTCCTTTTCCTTGGTGTTCCTGAATTGTGGCTTCTGAAATTTCTCCGATATGTGAAGATCTTGGGGCTGTTTTCTGGTCAGTATCATACAAACACAAAGTTCTTTTCTGTCAGACTGGTTTTTTGTCTGAATAATGCCTCTTCTTTGTAACAGTGAATAAAACTGACTAATTGGTTCGTGTGTGCCAATAGAGAAGCCACTGTAAAAGGATAACATCCTTTCCAGTATCTTTACTCAAGCTCTTCACTTAAAATGCTTAAAAGCTTCATGTGTATCACAGTAAATAAGTTTAAAATTCATAATAGTTATTATTGCAGTAGTAGTGCAAACACATACAGCCTCTTTTCAAGCTGGAGTATCTAACTTTGAAACAATAAAAAGATGTAGTGAATAGAAGAAACAAGTTCCTCTCTCTCAAAACGGTTATTGCAAGTTTTCCCATTCATGTATTTTTAGCATCTGCTTCATCTTTATATCAGCTTTTTCAGTGAAAAAGTAGCACCCTCACCCAGCTCTCAGTATGTAAAAGATCAAATGTTTTCTGGTGACATGAATACAACAGAGTGGGGTTTGTGATTTGTTCCCAAAAGTGTTACTTAAACAAGACATTCTGTTTGAACAAACAAAGGTGATAATGGGGGGTTTGGAGTTCATAAGCATCTACATCATCCAACCCCTTTATCTCTTGTTGTGTTTTGTAAAATGACGTTGTGCGAGTTTGTGAATAGAAAATGCAATAGAACCTTTCTGTGTCAAAAAAGGTGTTCAATAGTTCAATTTGAATGAAGGTGTGTTTGTGAATGTGTGCGACAACGGATGCAAATTAGTGATTAATATGCACTGTTCGAACCAAATATAATAACAGACCAAAAGTTTGGACACAATTTCTCATTCAATGAGTGCCCTTTCTTTTCATGACTATTGACTGTAGATTCACACCTACTGTAGCCTGTGTAAGGGCTGTTTGACCAATAAGGAGAGTGGTGGGGTGCTGCCAGATGGCCTCCACAGTCACCGGACCTGAACCCAAACGAGATGGTTTTGGGGCTGGACCACAGAGTGAAGGCGAAAGGGCCAACAAGTGCCAAGCATCTGTGGGAACTCAGACCATTTCAGGTCCTCTTGAAGCTCATCAAGAGAATCCCAAGAGTGTGCGAAGCAGTAATCAGAGCAAAAGGGGCTCCTTTGAAGAACCTTGAATTCAATATTATGTACATACTTTTTTTGTATATGTACATAATTCCACATGAGTGAATTCATAGTTTTGATGCCTTCAGTGTGAATCTACAATTTTCATAATCATGAAAATAAAAAACTCTTTGAATTAGAAGGTGTGTCCAAACTTTTGGTCTGTACTGCATATATTTTTTAATTCACTTATACAAATGATTAGGATCATAATTTAATAAAATAAACTATACTGAACGGTGCCTACAGCCATTTTCAATGCCCTGCATCATTTTTCTGCATACAACATGTATTCTAACAATCCCCTTTTTCTAGGCACTCGTCGACATGTCAAATTGTTTGGCCGTGTACTGCTCCGGTTGTGGGATGTCTTCTTCCTGGCTCTCCTGATCCTCACTGTCTTCTCGATTATCGGGATGGGTTTATTCCAAGGATCTCTTAGAAACAAGTGTGTCATAAACTGGTCCAATTCCAGTTTACAGCTAAACACCGTAGACTTTGAAAATGCCACGGAAGACTTTGACTTCAGAAATTATATCAACAATCAAGGTGAGATGATGATGACGTCTTCAAAGCTCATGTCGTTTTTGTCTCGTAGATGTTCATAGTTGGAGAATTAAGGCAAATTTATCTTGTTTTATTGGGGGTTTTTCAATAAACTTAGGTCAAATTGACAATTAATGAAACTGTTGCTGAAATAACTCACTTAAGTAACATGTATTACGAATGTAATATTTTGGGGGATGAACTGTCAGTTCTAAACTATCTTTTGTCACATAGAAAACCACTACATACATCAACAGGAACCTATGATCTGTGGAAACAGCTCAATGGCCAGGTACAATGATCATCTATATCCATCTGTCTGTCTGTCTATCTGTCTGTCTGTCTAATATGCTGGGACAAAATATAGGTCCTCATCAAAGCTTATTATCACCTGTCCCACAGCAACTCAACTGGCAGATTTCCATTGTGCGTCTATTTTGCATAATTTCCTTTCCCATCAAGTTATAATATAAAATTATAATGAACAAAAGCCAGCCCGTCTAGCCCATACTTTATGGCATCGTTCATAGAGAATTATACAGACTCACTGGCCACTTTATTAGGTACACCTTTGCTTGTACCGGGTTGGACCCCTTTTGCCTTAAAAAAATTCTTAATCCTTGGTGGCATAGATTCAACAAGGTACTAGACACATTCCTTAAAGAGTTTGGTCCATATCTGATAGCAATATGCAGTTTCTGCAGATTTGTCGGCTTCACTACACCCCCATCACCAGCCTGAACCGTTGATACAAGGCAGGATGGATCCATGCTTTCATGTTGTTGACTCCAAATTCTGCAGAAATGAAGACTCATCAGACAAGGCAACTTTTTCCAATCTTCTATTGTCAAATTTCAATGAGCCTGTGTGAATTGAAGCTCACTGGATATTCTCTCTTTTTCGGACCATTCTCTCTAAACCCTAGAGATGCGTGAAAATCCCAGTTGTTCAGAAGTTCTGAAATACTTTGACCAGCCTGTCTGACACCAACAACCATGCCACGTTCAAATCACCTTTCTTCTCCATTCTGATGCTCTGTTTGAACTGCAGCAGATTGTCTTGACCATGTCTACATGCCTAAATGCATTGAGTTGCTGCAATGTGATTGGCTGATAAGGAATTTGCATTAAAGTGGAGTTGGATAGGTGTACCTAATAAAGTGGCTGGTGAGTGTATATAGACAACTGCCCCATCTATCTGACAGCAGGAAAACCGACCAGTTTCAGCAATTATATTCAAGTGCTCATGTAAAAAGTGTTAATTCAACTTGCTCTGGCTCCCTGGTGAGTGCACACAGTTACTTAGCATGAGAAGTTCTCATGGGGGACGTCAGCAGTCGGTCAGTCTAGATTCAGATTCATTTATTTGCCATTTGCAGTAAAACCAAATTGGAATACATTTGCAAAAGTCCCCAGTGTGCACAAGACAAGTACATAACTAAAACAAGAATAAACGTACAGAAATAAAACAAGCAAAATAACAAGTGACATTGTGAAATTGATCGACTAAAACAGTTTCAATACCAGTACTAGATCATGAAAGTTCTCTGTTTAAACTGAATACAGTTTGTGGGAAGAAGCTGTTAGCAAAACAAGATGTCCTGCATCTCAGCGAACAATATCTTCTGCCAGAAGGAAGAAGCTGGAACATGGCTTTTCCCGGGGCCAGACGGGTCATTGGTTATTCTAAGAGCCCGGTTTAAAAGTCTGCATTTATAAAGAGCCTCCAGAAAAGGCAGCTCGCAGCTCAGTCCTTTTTGCAGAGCGGAGCACCTTGTTTACAGCGCTCCTTTCTTTGGCTGTGATTTCATCAAACCACACAGTCACAGAACCAACACGCGATAACAGTTAAGCAGAATTGCAGAGTTAGTGGTTCATTTTCAAAGTTTTAGCAGAAAGTAGAGACGCTGATGAGCTTTCAACCCGATTAGTGTATTTGTCCCATTTCAGTCCACTCCACATATACATGATCCAGTCTATGATCCAGTCCCCTGCTACACACGTGACTGGATCATAGTCAATTATTTCTGGCTATTCTGGCTTTAGAAAAACAGGGACATTGAATCGGACAAAAAATCCTTCCTTCATTCAATTCTACAGTAAATTCATGAAGTTACATTGGGCCTCATGTATGAAAATTGCGCAGAAAAAGGTGTACATTTTGGGTGTAGATCCCAGATACGCAAGATCTGACGTGGCATTTATGAACGTGTGAGATACGCATAGATCTGAGCGTACACACCTGCGGCTGTTGATAAATGCCGTGTTCAAAACCAGCGTATTTATGAAAGTCACGCCTAGAAATATTCAGTAACTGCCTGTTCCACGCCCTGTTTTTGCGACAAGCCAGCAGGAAGTCGGCTTTAAGAAGCCGCAAAAAGCACGCACTTTTGAGTTTATTCACGTTTAAAAACAAAACAAAATATATATTATATATACACTTACAGTAATACAATAAATTACCTGAATGAATGAACTATACTGCTGGTGCGCGTCGCACCCTATCTCTGCTCTGCGGAGTTAAGGGCAGTGGCTGAGACAGTTTTGAGCAAGATCAGGTGCATTTATGGGGCTTTATGCACAAAACTAAGTGTAACAAACTGAGGGTTTGTAGTTATGTTCTACAGTAAAATAATAAAACAAACTATAAGGACACAGATAAGGGGATTGAGTGAGGACAAAAAGTTTCCATTTAAGCATGTTTTATTCTTAATTTAGCTTATTTTGTACTTTGCACTCGTTATTCAAAAAGCAGTTGTAGCACAGAATACACTTCTTTGACAGGGTAAAAAGACAGCGTAAAAAAGACAGTAAAGACAACGGTGGTTGTGCTGCGCACCCGGCTCTCTCAGGCTTTTCCTAAAACAAAGTATTACATTTTATAATCACAAATATGGAGCTAGATGGCAGGTAGGCCAGTACGACAGACATACCACTTCAGGTAGGACATTCTCTGGAGTTCTACTGGGGAGGGAACATGGATGTATTATATTTACTGGATAGGGTATTACTAGCTTGTAGCTGAATAACTCATGTGCTCAGGGGATTCTCGCGGTACTGCAGACTGAACCAGACTAAATTCACGCGGGCTACCCACAAATTTTCCTCATAGAACTCAATGCATATTAAAACAGCTCGACCTCAGCTGACAAAGAACCTACAGCTTTAATAAAGATCGGATTTTGTGGGGATTTTAGTGTCCCTTGTCATCCTGAACTTTTTTTCTTCTTAAATCCTTCGGTTTTGTTTAAATCCACACTTTAGTGCCACAAACTCTGCTCGTCTGGCTCTCGCTCTAACTCCCGCTCTGATGAACTGCTCTGATTGGTCAGAGCGCGGCCGAGCCCCTCTGTGCACGTGCGTGAGACCCGGTGTGAGACCCACACACGCGTGTTTGGCGCAAAGCATTATGGGAGATCATCCACTGCGCAGAACCGGGAGGACCAGACGATGCCCAAATACAGGCGAGTTTCCCATAGATCTTTGCGAGTTTCCCATTGATCTTTGCGAGTTTCAGGCGACTTCCGCTAATCTTTCAGCCCCCATGCCGTCACAAAGCTCCACTGAGCACAACCATTCATTTGAATAGGGCGCCATCTTGAATCGCCGGGGCTTGGGCTTGGGAGGGAATGACTCCAGCTTCAGAGGACCACACACACCCGGTCTACAGAGAAGCGCCCCCAGCTGCGCATTAAATGCGCCTCCAGAACCATCAGTGCCACTACCTGAACAACATGCCTGATGAGGACCAAGCTACACAACTATTATATCTTCATTTTTAAAATTACTATACCTGCTACGCGGCGACACCCAAACACACACACACAAGCCGAGCGACCAGCACCCGGAAGTACAGACGGCAAGCGGGACAATGTCAATATTTTGAAGGTGTGCCGTCTGGTGCCCCCAGCTGGTGGGCGGATAAACTGTCCACACTACTACGTAAGGAAAACCCACATTGCTTTGCCAGAGGTGAATGAGGCAAAACATATGCGTAATTACGTATACGTGGGTCTGCCACAGGTTGTTTATGCATGTGTAAAAATAAATATACGCTATATACACTACGCTATTTATTCAACCCAGCTGCGTTTTGAACATATTTGCAAAAATGTTTTGATGAATTATAAAAATCTTTATTGGATTGTAGAAGTGAATAAATAAAGAATGAATGAATGAATTCATATTGTGCACCGTCAATGAAGCGTCTGCAGTGACTTGTGAATGCACTGAAGCGCTGTACACTTGGGAGAGCGTTTTTACAGAGAAACTATGAAGCCAAGACTTCTGAATGACAGCATTTGAGGAGTTATGTGGTGCGACCTCTGCTGTACATGCACTCCTAAGAGTGAGCTTCCTGTTCTGGAGGTTCTTTATAAATCCAGACTTTTAAACAAAGCTCTTAGGATTGTTAATGACTCTTCTGGCCACCCTGGGAAAGCCATGTTCCAGCTTCTTCCCTCTGGCAGAAGATATCGCTCTCTGAGATGCAGGACATCTCGTTACGCTAACAGTCTTTATCCACAAGCTGTTATCAGTGTGAACAGAGCACTTTAATGATTTGCACTTGTTTTGAACTGTTTTAGTCGATCGATTTCACAGTGACATTTTTTTACTGTTTTATTTTTGTCTTTTAATATTGTTTTATGTCTGTATTTGTCTGTGCACACTGGAGACTTTTGCTAATGTATTCTAATGTGGTGTTTGCACTGCAAATGGCAAATAAACTGAATCTGAATCTGAATCAGAGTGCGTAGCGGGTGGACAGGGCAGTAAGACATTTGGAGTGAGCAATACCATAGTCCATCGGTCCTTGCGTTATTGGGGTGTGTGTCTGTGTGAGGCTTACACAAATCTAATGAAAACATACATTGCTTTACCAGATGTGAATGAGGAATACAAATAGCCATGCTTAATTACGCAGCGCAGAGCCTGCCACAGTAATAGCTGGGTCACACATCCCTGTTGCGTATGTGTATTTATATAGAGCCTTTGACTGTCCAGGATCACAAAGCGCTTCACATTTTAAAAACATACAGATCAAAATAATACACACAGAAGTCAGATTTAAAATCATTGAAACAGAAGAGGCTCCTCATCATGATCTGTGATTAATTCGAAGTTTGCGTGTTTCCAGAGTGTTAGACTTTTTCTGATGCGCAAATTCAAATTCCGAAACCTGATGCTCCATGAAAACGCAGCTTATAATGTTGCCAGAGTGGGAACATGTTTATTGTTGTCCAAATCTTGAATTTCATGCGTGTTTTGGCGTGTTGTGACAAAGGGTGAAATGAGCGTACACACATTGACTTGGTGTGAATTCTGTGCGTACCGTACGCTCACGTCCAGATTGATATATGCGGAAAAGTGTACATTTTTTGCATACGCATCATTTACACCCTGATTTGGCCGTACGCAACTTTCATACATGAGGCCCCTTGTGAGTGTAAATTTAAAACGGTTAATAATATGCATAGTTATGTAGGTCTATTGTTTAACTGGTGCAGAGTAATAATTTTCCCAAGTAATAATATAAAATAGAAATAAAAATGTTTTTATTCAAGATAAAACGTCCTATTTTCTTCAGGGTTACTCTAGTTCATTACGATCTTCTCCTGTCTTTCACATCTTCTTAGCTACATTGCATTTGCAGCCCTGTTTATGCGGCTACAGAACAGACGTGCATGTGAAGAGGACTGTACAGTGTGACCAATACTGACCAATAATTTTCATACACATTACACTTTTAGTTAGTCTCTCCAACATCTCTCCAATTTACTTTTGAACATAGACAACTGTTTTGTCAGTGAGGAAGATAGATTTGACTAGATGGATTGTGGATTTTAAAGTTAAATTTGAAAGTGTTACCTATTTATGTACTTTCTGCTTGTATTTTGTTATTTGCTGTTCAGCACATGCCCAGAGGGATTCATCTGCATTCAAACCAGCGAAAATCCAGACTACGGTTTTACAAACTTCGACACTTTTGAATTTGCATTTTTGTCCACGTTGAGGCTCATGATGAGAGACTTTTGGGAGAAACTGGCTGAACAGGTCAGTGTTAAAGGATTGTGTTTACTTCTGCTACATGCCATCGCTGCATCCGATAATGCAGCAATTTTCAAAAAGTTTAAGTAAGAATGCCTTTTTTACCCTTTTCATACTTGTTCATACTCACTCACTCACTTTCACTTCACCAAGCATTCTTTACTTGATATATTATTTTGCAATCTAAAACATGGAAGAACAAAGTGAATAGTCTCATTTTCCTTCCATTTATGACCAATGATAAATAATGTATTTTTTTTTCTTTAACTTAACAATAAGTAAGCAATGTTTATTTATATAGTGCATTTACAGACCAAGTTGCTTTACAATGTTCAGAAATCAGATATTTTTCCATTCACACACGGTGATGACAAAAGTAAAAACGCCAAACACCATCAAAGCCCCCAAACACCAACATTCAATCACTCTTTACACTCATACCTATTGTACATGTTTTGAGTAGTAGGGGAAACCAGAGCACCCAGAGGAAACCTACACAGGCACGGGGAGAACAGGCAAACTCCGACCGGGATTCAAACTCAGTTCCTTTTTGCTGAGAAGCGAGAGTACTATCCACTCAGCCATTGTGCCGCCCAAATAGATCTACATTTATGTGAATCTTACATTTGACCTACTGTACCTAAAAAGCTGGAGCTACCTTGCACCTTGACTATTTCAACATGTGATTTTTGTGAACAAGCAGGTTGAGGTTTTGTTGCAGGTCTACCAAGTTCATTTTAGATCTTGTCCTCTTTGTTTTTCTAGGTGCTGTATGGTGCCGGAACACCAATGATGATTTATTTTGTGGTGGCGATGTTCATCTGCTCGTTCTCGCTCACGGGTTTCATCATCGCTGCTTTTGTCATAACTTTCATTGAACAAACCAACAAAGAAGTTCAACAGGCAAAGCAGGACCAGAGAGACTACAATGAGATCCTGGCTGCTCTCAAAGACAAGGTGAGGTCTCAACTGGGTCTAAAGTAAAGCCCATCTGACAGGATCGACACCTCGTTACAACGGGTTCAGTTAGTTACTTAGAATGTTTTTTTTTGCAGCCAATTTTAGATCGAAATGAAACCAAACTGTTTTATAGGTCGTTGCTTGCATGTGGGTCAGAAGAAGGTTAAAAAACCACACACAAGTCATACAAAGGACAATTCGATCTTGAACAGATAAAAAAGGGGTATTATTAGAATTGTATATTGATTGGTAAGAAAATCTAACACAAAATAAATTAGCACAGACAACTCTGAGGACAGTATTTTCAGTATAACATTTTTGTGCCGTACAAAAATTTGGATAAGGTTTGACGCTCAGACCTCAGCAGAGCTTTGCGCGATTGAAGAAGGGGAAATAGATTATGAAATGAAAACCCAGAGAGCTTAGACCCTGGTGGTAGTAGCAAGGAGAAGGATGAAAGAGCCAGCCCGGAATCAGGCGGAGATGGGGAGGAGGAGGGTTGTGGCGTGAATGACGCTGCTGCTTGGATGGAGCTTCCTCGTGGCTGGGGCAGTGCATGGTTGCTTTCTGGTGAGAATTGGCGATGGCTGCACCAACGATACAGCTCCATGTGGATGATAAGCTTACAATAGTCCAATGTGATATCCTCTGGTCCAGGGTGCACTGTACTGTGACTTTAGAAGGCTTATTTTGAAAGTCGCAAAGTTTGTGTTTGTGCAAAATACCAATCGTCACTGGGTAAATGAAACCTTAAAATAATTGCTTTTCTTGTGGATTGATGGTCTTTCAATCTTATGAAGGGATTCCATTTTATAACAGAGCTTTTCCTGTGAATTTCTTTTTCCAACTTTTTGCCATAAATTCTTTCTTGAAATCTACTAGGAATTGACATTTTTATGTGTTTACAGCAAATACCCCACAAATACATGTGGTATTTGAAGGTTGTGATTTCTTATAGTAACTCAACTGTTAAATGTTTTCAATCTGCATTGTGTTTTTTTTGTTTTTTTTTCCAGGATGAGGATGAGCTCCCTGAAAAAAAAGGTGAGTCTGTCTCAATCGCCTGTGAACGTACTTGAATAGCCTGTGACAGTAGTAGCGATAGTTATGAACCAAAAACTGAACCAGTCTACAGCTGCTTAGGCTCAGATCCCACTCTACTCCAAACAACACAATACTCCTCCCTCCAAGAAATACATTTGTAGTCTCTTAAACTTTCTCCAACACCAAGGATTCCTTGTTCTACACTAATAACGTCTATGCTATTTAACACGTGAACACGATAACAACATTATCAATACAATTACATTTATTTATATGGCGCATTTTATAAACAACAGTTTCAAAATAAAATTCCCTAACATATCTGCCAAATAAAATGTTAATAAATAAAAGGATATTTCCGAGATACCAAAGAATTAAAAGAAAATAGGTCCAAGGTGTACGTGGCGCCAGGCCATTCAAAGATAAAAACAAACAATTTAATCTTTAAAACAATCTTTTGCATGATGTGTTCTTATAATTGTACTTCCTTTCAAAGGCTATGGCTCAGTCGTACAAAATGATCATATAGTTTAAAAAAAAGAAATGCATGTTATGAACTTTAAACCTGCTGTAACGATTGTGAAGTTTTTCCCCGCTGACTGACTCACCAGTTTTAAAACATTCATCTTTTAGTTCAAATTGAAAGCGAGACTCCCAAAGCACAGAACAAGAGCCATCTGTTCAACTCACGGTTCACCCCTGGAGAAATTAGTCTTCCGTAAGATTCCAGGAAAACACGACCAAACTTGGCGTTGTTCCTCCCAATAGACAGAGCTCAAATCTGTGGACATTCATTTTACTGATGAAACTTTGATTAGTGCGTTTCCTTGTGGTCTCAATGTGCAGCAGCAAAACTCACATCAGGCCATTTCACACCGTGGGAACCTTATGGAGATCCTGGTATTATTATTATTGTGTTTCTGAACTTTTTAGAATACACTTTATGACAAAAAGGTCCTTGGTTTGATTCTACCTCCGCAGGAACTAAAGCTTTGCAGAAATACCTAATTGTAAAAATTATAAAAGCACTTGGAATTACATACAGTATATTCAAAGAGTATTATCCAGTAACTTCTATGTTTTGACTCACTGAGCAAAATAAATGTCCCTGCACTGGTGTGAACGCAGCTAAAAAGAACTGGGAGGTTCTTCTGACTAAATAGGAACTGGCAGGTTAAAATGGACTATTGTGTGTGGCTATTATCTATTCAAGCCATTCACCAAACACTTAATTTGAGGTTATTAGACCTTTGTTTTTGTTGTTTGAAAGGACACATAGACCTGAGAATTAAACTTGAATAACTGGCCATAACCAAAAATAGAAATATAAGAGTGAGTCCGTTAAGGGGTGTGGCGCAGTACGTCCATCAGCTGTTGGTTGCATAAGATTGCGGCTTATATTCAAGTGCAGCCTTCATAAGTGTTCTTAATTGTCCAGCAAGTACTGAATATGTATAATGAAACTCTTTATTTACCACAGATCCAAAGAAGCAGATGTGTTCTTCTTGCTTGCGACGTGTGTGTAGCTGTGACTGCTGTGACTGCTGGGTTGTGCTCAAAAAGGGACTGCAATTTGTCGTTTTGGATCCGTTCTTTGACCTGGCAATAATCCTTCTGCTCATCCTCAACGTGTTATTCATGTCCATGGAACATTTCCCCCTAACCCACGAGTTTGAATATACTCTCATGAAGGCAGAGTTGGTGAGCATGAAATAATTAGATCTTATTTTGATGTTTCTACTTTTCAAATGATAAATGTGGGATACATCAGAACATTTTATTAGACCTTTTGTAAGATTATATAGTACAGACTGGGTCCCTGTGTGAAATGCATTTCTACATCCCTCCATTGGATCACCCTTAAATCCTTATATCCAAGTAGTAAACGAATAATGAATAAAGGAGATGTTGAATTTCTTATACAAATATTTCCGTTATCAAACATTCCATGCTGCAAATACATTTGTAATGAACAGAAAACAGCTCTGAACATGATGTAATAGTAATAATTCATTATGTAACAGGTTTGAGACAGGAGCCTTTGACAAAAGGGGCAGAAGATGTATTTGGGCCATAAGTTCATGATAGTCTAGTATATATGATGTATCTTCTAAAGTTTAATTGAACAACAAGCCAAAAGCATAAAAGTGGAAGCAGAACGAAAGGAGGGACTTCATACGGCTGGAGAGAACCATGAAAAATGTATTTTATTTCTTGCAGGTTTTCACAATCCTCTTTCTCCTGGAAGTTGTTCTGAAGATTCTGGCTGTGGGGCCTTACGCCTACTTTAAGGTCAGACTTTCTGTAATTCTCTTGGGCCCCTGCTTAGAATTACGACAGAAATACTGATTGTTGCAAAATGTTTTAATTTGAATGTTTGATTTCAAAAGCCCCAGCAACGGTACTGAGTTTTGTCATATTGAATTATGTAAAAATATGCAGGTTTAAAATAAGTAATAATAACTACCTTTGTTGGATTGAAAAACCGATCCGACTGTGAAATCATAATAAATAAACTATGATCTACTGTTTTAAATGTTATTTCGGCAATAATTGTAGATGTAGTCTATGGGCCTACATAATGCATCCACTTTTTCTGCAGTATTACAAGCTCTGTTAATATAAAGCCTGGAATGAGTATTTGGTATCTCTAAGCACTGAACATAAAGAATTTATATTGGTATCGGTTTTTGGAAAAATTGGTAGTGGTGCATCCTTGTAATAAGTTTTCTGCTGAGACATAAGATAGGACCTCTGCATCATTTGTCATTTTCTGCAGACTGCTATCTCTCAAAAACCTCCAGGGAAGTGTAAATCTTGTGCGAGGACTACTGCTATTCTTTTTTAGTAAACTAATTTTTGTCAATACAGAATACATTTAAAAAAAAACCATAAACATTTTCACCTCTTGCTTTGTGATGACCTCATGCTCTGCTAATTGTGTTTCAGGTCGGATGGCACATCTTCGACACATTACTGGTCATTGTGACTTTTCTGAACTATGGCTTTGCTGATGTTGAAGGAGAATTTGCACTTGCAGGGTTCCACACTTTCAGGCTGGTGAGATAGTATTGATGGATGTAGATATATACAACCCCTATAGGACAGTTTCATCCAGAAGCAAAACACACACAACCATTAGACTCATTAGACTTGCAACATGTCAAATTAACTGATTTAATGACTAGATCTTCGTGATTAAAGGTGTTCTGGCGACATCCACTTGTCCATCAGGTAATAACATAAATAATAAAAAAAAGCTAATGAATATATTGTACTATATCGAAGTTGATAAACAATAGTGTGTTAACACAAAATATTTTATTAGATTGTATTTTTTATTTTAAAAATCTGTATTTTGCAAGAAAAATCTGTGTCCTCATCACCAAAGTTGGAATCTCTTGTGTCTATGTTTCTTTGTATAAAAATATGTTTTATATTACTTAGAGATACAGTAGATACATCTTAACTGCAAATGGCAACCAACAATATTACTGTTGGTAGTATTGCTGTTGATGGTGTTGCTATAAAAATGGAACATGTGATGGTTTTCCTTTGCTTAAAAACACACGCAAAACCTAAATGAGTAAGTGGAATATACATCAATAATGACAAGTGCTTTTTGAGGAAAGGTTTCAGACATTACTTTAATATCACCTGAAACATTCAAAAGACTAACTCATCAAATGAATATAATATGTGTAATCTTATTATTCAGAATGGATACAGTAGTATCTATTCATTAGACATCACATATCAACCTTTTCAACCTTCATTTCACCAGGAAAGTCAAGAACTTCTTTTTCAAGGGACTAGTGGACAAGAGGCTGCAAAAGTTACACACAGTTACACACAGTTACAGATTATGTAAAAAGTTACACTTCAATAAGTATGTCTCAAGTGTTCTCAATTTTGACTTAAAAGCATTCAATGAAATAAGTTCAGATAATTTTCAATCTTTTTGCAACACATTCCATGTAAAAGGAGAAGCACAAAAGCCTTATTTCCCAATTGTGTGCGGGCAAAGGGAACAGAGAGCAACAGATACGCTGTATCAATCTGTTGAAGACATTGAGCTGAGGCATTCACATATATCAGGTTCTCACAATGTAAAATAGATACAAATGTTGCAGTGACAAGCTAAAAACAAAATGTTCTAATAATTAAGCCCAAGCTATGTTTAAGATTCTTCAAGAGATTTTTAGATAAATGTAATCAATCTGACTGACCAGCTGTAAGCTAACGGCTGTCGAGCGGCATCCTCATTATGTCAGTAAAATGATTGTATATAGAATAAACAATGAGAAACTGTGATGGTGAGGAAGCAATGATAATAAATAAGAATAATCATATTAAATAATAAACATTGTTTAATCAATAATACAAATGGGCTCTCTTCCCACATGAATCTCAGGCATTGGCCTTTTTAATGCCCAACATCTCACGCTTTTTTTAATGCACCACACAATCACAGACAAACTATTGAGGAATGCTGTCGGAAGAGTGCCAATAATAATGCTAATGTTAAGGACGCTAGTATTGTCATGATTGTTTTCTTCATCATCATCCCCATCGCCACTATTGTTGTTATTATCTTCTATTTTGTTGTAGTCATTTTTATTTTGCCTCTCTTCTCTCGCCCCGGTTAACTTAACACCATACTACCAATTCCCATCAATACGCTTGGATAATCAATCAATGCGCACACAAAAAATAAATAAATAAACGAAACGAAAAAAGTAAATAACAAACAACACACACACACACACACACGGAAGCCTCTCCCCCTGTATGTATTTATGTTCATGTTTTTTATTTAAACAAAAAAAACCAAAACAAGTCGACAGAACCCGATACTCATTCACCAGTCCATTTGATGAGAAACCAGTGTCCTCTTCCTCAATAAAAATACCTACATTATCCACGTCGATATACAGTATAAGCTGTGGGGTTGAATGAACTAAATTAAAGTAGCAGCTTATTATCATCCTTCTCCTTTTTATTGACCTTTGAGGCATAAAATGTATCTGAGCACCTGTAAAAACATAATTAAACAGTGTTAAGTGTAAATCTGGTCACAACTAGGTCCAAAAACCGTGTCTAAACCATACAGTATCTAAACCAGCGCTAAACCAGGTGTTATTCATCTCTTTAGCCAGCTCTTACCCAGGTCTAATTAAAGTCTAAACCAGCTCTAAACACCTCTTCTCTCCTCAGTTCCGTCTGGCTCGCTGGTGGCCTGGTTTCATGACGTGGGTCCGCCTGACTTGGGCTGGTCTCCGCTCTGTTTGGATGCTTATGTTGGTGCTGGCCACCCTCTCCTTCACCTTTTTCGGGAAACTCGCTTTTGGGGAGAGCTTCAGAGATAATTTATGCTCTATTTCAGAGGATTGTTCGCGCCCTCGTTGGCACATGAGTGATCCATATCACAGCTTCATGGTCGTGACACGTGCACTGTTTGGGGAGTGGATTGAGACCATGTGGTTGTGCTTGGGAACCTCCAATCAGTTTGTCTGTGTGGTGTTCTACGTCACACTGCTTATAGTTGGAAACTTTCTGGTGAGTGAAAATCCAATCCAGAGCTAATACAGGACTGATCACAGGCTATACTAATATTTCCAGTATTTTGCATCATCAGTTGGTTACAATAAACAGAGGCAAATGTATCAACATTTTAAATAGCTGGACAGATTGGCCCTCATTTATGAAACTTGCACAGAAAAGGCTGTATTTTTTTGGGGTATAAACCAAATACGCAAGATCCAACTTTGGATTTATCAAAGTGTGAGATCCACCCAGATCAGAGCGTACGCAACTGCTGCTGATGATAAATGCCGCGCTGAAAACTAGCATATTTATGAAAGTCTCGCCTTTAAACATTCAGAAACCGCCTGTTTCACGCCCCGTATTTACGACAGGTCAGCATGGAAGTTGGCCAGTGAGACTAGTTGGAAGGCTCAAAAAGGCATGTGACATGCACTCCTGAGTTTATTCACGTTTGTTTAAAAATGAATATACGCTATATTATATGTACAAGTTTTTTTCCTAGACCCACTGCAGCACTTATCCCTCCTGAACTTTAAAAGTGAATGAATATTTACCTTGGCCTCAGGTGGTTCTAATCGTTAACCGGGTGAAGTGTCTACGGCATCTTCTTGTGAATGCAATGGAGTGCTGTGCATTTGAGAGAGGATGCATTTGAGAAGCTTTTGGGAAGTGTCTGTGATTTCACAGAGGAACTCTGGATCCAAAACGTCCGAATGACGCGCACCACATTTGAGGAGTTTTTGCGGTGGGACTTGTCCTGACACCCGCTGCGCACTGCCCAAAGAGCCACTGCCCGTGAGCCTGTTCCCGCAGATAAGAGCGTTGCATCCGATCTATAGCCTGCTACATGCGGAGGACAGGGCAGTGGTTGAGACGGTTTTGAGTGAACAAGACCATCGGTTTTATGCACAAAATGAAAATGAAAAAAATACATTGCTTTGCCAGATGAGTCACACATCCCTGTTGTGTAAGTTAGTGAGTTAGTCAAATATACAGTATTTGTATAGCGCCGTTCACAGACCAGGATCACAAAGCGCTTCACAATTAAAAAACTTACAGATGAAAATAATGCACATACTGTTCAAGTCAGATTTTAAAATGAAGAAACAGAAGAGGGTCCTCATAATGAACTGTGATTCATTCGAAGTTTGCTTGTTGCCATTAGACATTTTCTGATGCGCAAATTCAAATATTGAAATGTGATGTTCAATGAAAACGCAGCCTACAATTTTGCCAGAGTGGGAATATGTTTATTGTTGTCCAAATCTTGAATTTAATGCGTGTTTTGGCATGCTGTGATGAAGGTTTAGATGGGTCTAAAATTACACCACCTACTGACTTGGTGTATATATTGTGCATACCGTACGCCCACGTCCAGATTGATAAATGCCGAAAAGTAAATTTTAATAAATGAGGGCCATAGAGCCCAACTTATCTTCAATCATTTAATTAAGTAGAATGTATGGTGTTGTCATTTGACGTCATTAGGCATCCTTCTTTTATTCACCTTTGTAGCATAAAATGTATCAAGGTACCGTATTTAATTAGAGAATGTTGCTTTGTCTAGTTTTGATTTTACAATCGAAACTGTAAGAATGTACTTGACATGTTGGCATGTTAATCTAACAGTGACATGGTGGCGTCTGGTTGCAGATCTTGACTCTGTTCGTGACTTTGTTGATGAAGTGGATAAACAACAAATTGGCTCCAAATGACGAAGAGACTATGCAAACGTTAAAAAAGAGAGTCATGGAAGTGCTCAAAGTGTGTGGAATAGAGACTGGTGCAGAAGAGAAGGCAGATAATGCAGGTAAATGAATGAATAAACAACACTTCAGTATTTTGACCAAGTTTTAAGTGTGTTTTCAATGCATAGTTGAAACAGCATAAAACAAAACTGAGAAAAGCCTCCCTGTGTTTGTTGTCACTGATTGATAAATGTGTGTTTTGCAGAAACAGTAGAGGGTAAAGACAATGTGGATATGACAAGTGTCACACCTGATCAATCTGAAGGGAACGGGACCCACAGCAGCACTCTGCCCATCGGGGAAGCTCAGGTATTTATAACATAGCATGTGATATACATTCCTTTTTCATTTCTATTTCAACAAGATCTACGAGAATGCATGTAAATAAGGGATTTAAAACATGCGACTCAACCATATTCATGCGGATGCCATAAGCCAGTGACCAGCGGTCAACTCTAATAAACTCCAAACTAAAAAGCTCTATTCGAATACTGCTGAGATTTTTGGATTTCAAAACTAGTTTAACAACCCCTAAATCTTCTTATTGTTTTTATTTTGATGTCCCGCCGTCCACCGTTTCAGCAATCAGAAAGTCTGTGAACTCACAGCATCGAGCTAATCTAACTGATAAAGTAACATGTGGCTGCAGACTAAAAACGGTCTTGTTATTATTCTCAAATCATTAACGACAAAACAAGGAATGAAACAAGGATTTCTATCGGGGCCTTTGTGAAAAAGGTGTTGACTTACTAATGACTTACTGAAATTAATTTGCATATTCTTTCTGAGTCTTATGGCTGTCCTTAACCGTTTTTTAAATCATAAAAATGAATTACATTTTCAAAATGTCGCTACGTGGGGATTCAATTAGTATAGGCTTAAATTATATGATTTTAGATATTGCTATTTTACGTTTTTTTACGTTTTAACCAGAAAAATATTGATGTATTGTGTGATTAAATGCTGTTTGTGTGAGTTATACATTTACCTTTACTGAATGCTTTTTGTGTTTCCCACGGGGAGAGGCGGCGAGCTGGGGTGGCCATACTCATTGCCCCCCATCTCAGCCGCCACGTGTTGGAGTTCTCCCCGGTGAATGAGAGGGTCGCGTCCCTCCGCCTCCGGGTGGGGGACAAGTCTCTCACTGTTGTGACGGCCTACGGGCCTAACGGTAGTGCAGAGTACCCGGCCTTCTTGGAGTCCTTGGGAGGGGTACTGGACGGTGCACCGCCCGGGGACTCCGTTATTCTCCTGGGGGACTTCAACGCCCATGTGGGAAATGCCAGTGACACTTGGAGAGGGGTGATCGGGAAGAGCGGCCCCCCTGATCTGAACCCGAGCGGTGTTCAGTTGTTGGACTTCTGTGCCAGTCAGTTTGTCCATCACGAACACCATGTTCGAGCACAAGGGTGTCCATCAGTGCACGTGGCACCAGGACACCCTAGGCCGGAGGTCGATGATCGACTTTGTTGTCGTATCATCTGACCTTCGACCGCGTGTCTCGGACACTCGGGTGAAGAGAGGGGCGGAGCTGTCAACCGATCACCACCTGGTCGTGAGTTGGATCCGCTGGCAGGGCAGGAGGCCGGTCAGACCTGGCAGGCCCAAGCGTGTAGTGAGGGTTTGCTGGGAACGTCTTGGTGAGCCCCCTGTCAGACGGACTTTCAACTCACACCTCCGGGAGAGCTTCTCCCAGGTCCCGGCAGAGGAGGGGGACATCGAGTCCGAGTGGACCATGTTCTCTTCCTCTATTGCCAATGCGGCGGCTCGTAGCTGTGGTCGCAAGGTCTCTGGTGCTGGTCCCGGCGGCAATCCCCGAACCCGGTGGTGGACACCGGCAGTAAGGGATGCCGTCAGGCTGAAGAAGGAGTCCTATCGAGCAATGATGGTTCGTGGGACTCCTGAGGCAGCTGTCCAGTACCGGCAGGCCAAACGTGCCGCGGCCCGGGCTGTTGCAGAGGCAAAAACCCGGGACTGGGAGGAGTTCGGAGAGTCCATGGAGCATGACTATCGGTCGGCCTCGAAGAGGTTCTGGCAAACCGTCCGGCGCCTCAGGAGGGGGAAGCAGTTCTTTGCCAACACCGTGTATGGTGCGGGTGGAGGGCTGCTGACCTCGACTGGGGATATTGTCGGGCGGTGGAAGGAATACTTCGAGGTTCTCCTCAATCCCCCCGTCACGTCCCCCGTCCAGGAGGCAGAGGCTGAGGATGTTGGGGCGGATACTTCCATCTCCCTGGCCGAGGTCACCAAGGTGGTTGGCAGCCTCCATGGTGGCAAGGCGCCGGGAGTGGATGAGATCCGTCCTGACTATCTAAAGTCTCTGGATGTTGTAGGACTGTCTTGGCTGACACGTCTCTGCAACATCGCGTGGCGATCGGGGGCGGTGCCAATGGAGTGGCAAACCGGGGTGGTGGTCCCTCTCTACAAGAAGGGGGACCGGAGGGTGTGTTCCAATTATCGTGGGATCACACTCCTCAGCCTCCCCGGTAAGGTCTACTCCAAGGTACTGGAGAGGAGGCTACGTCCGATGGGCGAATCTCGGATTCAGGAGGAGCAGTGTGGTTTTCGTCCCGGTCGCGGAACACTGGACCAGCTCTATACTCTCCATCGGATACTCGAGGGTTCATGGGAGTTCGCCCAACCTGTCCACATGTGCTTTGTGGATTTGGAGAAGGCGTTCGACCGTGTTCCCCGGGGTGTCCTTTGGGGGGTCCTCCGGGAGTACGGGGTCCGGGGTCCTCTGCTGAGGGCTGTTCGGTCCCTGTATGACCGGAGCCAGAGCTGTGTTCGCATTGCCGGCAGTAAGTCAGACCTGTTCCCGGTGCATGTTGGCCTCCGCCAAGGCTGCCCTTTGTCACCGGTTCTGTTCACTGTATTTATGGACAGAATCTCTAGGCGCAGCCAGGGGCCGGAGGGGGTCCGGTTCGGGAATCACAGGATTTCATCTCTACTTTTTGCGGATGATGTCGTCCTGTTGGCTCCAACGAACCAGGACCTGCAACATGCACTGGGACGGTTTGCAGCCGAGTGTGAAGCGGCTGGGATGAGAATCAGCACCTCCAAATCCGAGGCCATGGTGCTCGACCGGAAAAAGGTGCCTTGCCCTCTCCAGGTGGGTGGAGAGGTTCTTCCTCAAGTGGAGGAGTTCAAGTATCTCGGGGTCTTGTTCACGAGTGAGGGGAGGATGGAGCGTGAGATTGACAGGCGGATCGGTGCAGCGTGCGCAGTGATGCGGTCTCTGTATCGGACCGTTGTGGTAAAGAGGGAGCTGAGCCGAAAGGCAAAGCTCTCAATTTACCGGTCAATCTTCGTTCCCTCCCTCACCTATGGTCATGAGCTGTGGGTAATGACCGAAAGAACGAGATCGCGGATACAAGCGGTCGAAATGAGCTTCCTCCGCAGAGTGGCTGGGCGCTCCCTTAGAGATAGGGTGAGGAGCTCGGTCACACGGGAGGAGCTCGGAGTAGAGCCGCTGCTTCTCCACGTCGAGAAGAACCAGTTGAGGTGGCTCGGGCATCTGTTCAGGATGCCTCCTGGACGCCTCCCTGGGGAGGTGTTCCGGGCACGTCCCACCGGGAGGAGGCCCCGGGGAAGACCCAGGACACGCTGGAGAGACTATGTCTCTCAGCTGGCCTGGGAACGCCTTGGAGTCCCCCCGGACGAGCTGGAGGAGGTGTGTGTGGATAGGGAAGTCTGGGCGTCTCTGCTTAGACTGCTGCCCCCGCGACCCGGCAACGGATAAAGCGGAAGAAAATGGATGGATGGATGGATGAATGCTTTTTAGGGAGCACAGGAAGGGACGATCCTCATATACTGTAGTACTAAGTCTTGACACAAGAGGACGGTGTTTGATTTGGTCTTATGAGACATAACCAACCAAAGACACCGGCAATCTTAAAAATAGGCAATAAACCAAACCTTTATTGAATTAATTTTATCTTTGCACATGACTTACATGCTTTTGCCAAAACATTTGTTGCTATTCTTTTTAGCTTGAGGTATAAAGCTGTGTGATTGTAGACCATACATTTAATTAATGCAAAAATAATGCTCACCGAGAAGGAAGGCTTCTTTAGCCTCTGTTTACAAACCTCACTGCACGTCACTGACCATCGCATAATTTAAAGCTTCTCTTATCACAAAAACAATCATAATATTTAATATCTTATAAACATTGATGCCACATGGCAAAATAGTAATAGTTTAATATAAAGATAAATAATGGGTCCGTCTTTTGGTCCAATTTTGCTTCAAAATCCGCCCTCGTCGTGAAATGAGTTTGACACAATAGACTCTTTAAACAAATGAATACATAAAAAATGTTCGAACTGTTTTAGGTGAGTTATTCTTTTTATCAAAATGAATCCACGCATACATATTTATCGACCACTGAATTTGATCCGTTCAAAATATATAGCTTTGTGTTTTTTGAAGACATATTTTGTTTTAATATAAACTTTAAAGCAATATTTAAACGTCAATATATCGCCCGCCTTTTTAACTGTCATTTACATTTGTATGAGTATTATTGTCTATAATAACATTACTTTTAATATTTCACAGAAATTTCATGAGATAAAAAACGCTGAAGACTCCCAAGAGGTTCTGGAGGACTGCTTCTGCCCAAGTACAAACATTATTTTTCAATCAGCTTCTCTCCTTAGATTAAGATCAACAGTCTCCCAAATTTGGAGACTGCCTTTTAAGAGTGTTCCAGAACCTATTTTGGGCCTTACGTTCTCAAAAGGCCGAGGTTTGGACATGTCTGAATTTGGTGGTTTATAAGACATTTTGTTATAATTGGGTAATCAGTATAATTCCAAGGTTCCAATGTACATTTTCCCAGGGACAGAATTCCAGGTGTGAGCGACTAATAATGCCCCTAGATTTATAAACAAGTGTTCTGTCGAGATGGTCCGGCCATCGAGCAGGTCTGACGCGTATTTAATCGTACAATATATTAACTAATTAACTATAGTGTGTTCAAAGGAACACTAAAGTTGGAAACACTTGTGTCTATGTCTCTCCGTTACTAAGGATATACATTTATTAGTTTCTGCCTTTACAGTGGGGTGTTATAAAATAGGAATCAACTGTATGCAGCATGTTTGATGCTAATGACAGTCGTGCACATGTTCCTGCAGTGTTACAAGTTACACTCTAGGGTTTACTATGAATTATGGAGAAGCATTTTTCTGGACTTTTTTATCACAAGATGCATTCGATTGAATACTTAACACACTTTTTATTTTTAAAGCTAAGAATGCAATTATAGGGCTTTTTTGTCAGGGAGCTGCAAATGGATACACAGAACATATTGGGCCTCATTCACGAACGGTTCTTAGGAACAAATTTGTACGTAAATCCTACTTACGCGGTTTTTACGAAGAAAGTGGCATTCACGAATATTTCTCGTAACCAGAATTTCTCTTGGGCAGGTACAAATCCTACGAGTCCTCAGGAGCACTCGTACGCATTCAGTGCCGACATGTTCACAGCCGGGGTTGTCCTCTTTGGTGAAGTTGAATAAAAATACAACATTCCAGTGATATGTCCGTCATATCGATGTATGTATTTATTTATTTGTAGTAATCTTTATTAGTAATCTTTATTTATATACCACCTTTTTCACTGCAGATCTGGCCTACTTTTTAATTCATTTTGAAATGAAATGTGCCAACGCTTTATCAAATACATTGGAAATCTTGCCGTGTATTAGTGACCCCTTCCTATTTATAGGGGGCATTTCTTTATCCACGGGCCACAGAACAACGGCATATATACTGCTGCTGCAGGAGGTTACTGGGTCCGCGCTGAGTCTCTGCGCTGGTCTCTCCTATGGATCTATACGGGTCTGCACTGGTCTCTCCCATGGATCTATACGGGTCTGCGCTGGTCTCTCCTATGGATCTATACGGGTCTGCACTGGTCTCTCCATACGGGTCCGTGCTGCATGCTCCTGGATCCATACGGGTCCGCGCTGGTCTCTCAAGTCTGGTCTATGCGGTCTATCTTTGGTCCGCGCTGGTCTCTGCGCACCGGTCTCTCCAGTCAGGTCACTCCAGTCTATGCGGTCTCTCCAGTCAGGTCACTCCAGTCTATGCGGTCTCTCCTATAGGTCCGCGCTGGTTTCTGTGTGCTGGTCACTCCAGTCTCTCCTCGGGTCTGCATTGGTCTCAGCGCTGGTCCGCGCTGGATCTCCTCCCAGGGTCCAAAATATTTTGAGATTAATATCAAAACATTTTGAGATTCATCTTTAAAATAATACATAATATATTTTTAAATTAAGATCATAACATTTTGAGATTAATCTCAAAACATTTTGAGATTCATCTTTAAAATAATACATAATATATTTTTAAATTAAGCTCATAACATTTTGAGATTAATCTCATAACATTTTGAGATTAATCTCATCATATTCTTAGATTAATCTCATAATTTTGCTAGTTCGACTTTATTATCATAATATTTCGACTTTTAAGTCAACATTTTATAACTTTATTCTCAGTCTGGTAAAAGAAGAAAAAAGGGTGACTCTTTTGCTCCGTGTAACTCTTTGCTTTAGGCCTGTTGCTGTTTCCTCTGCCGTCTGCACACGGCCCTGCAGTCCCTTATATGGGCATTAGTGGGCGGTTACTTATGCTAAGTACCTATGCTAATGAAGCACCTGGCACGCGCGCTCTACTTACGAGGAAATGGGATTCATCAATCTGAGAGAACAGCTGCGAACAATTCAGCGGCTTACGAGTGCGTTGATGAATCCCACGTAGGGACTTCTTAGAAATCTACTTAAGGACGACTTGAGAAGAAAGTTGAGTAGTTTCTTACGAAGTTATTCGTGAATGAGGCCCATTGTTTGTACAGTTGTATTTATGAAGTTGCCAAAGTATTTCAAAGCAAGGTAGAGAACAGATTTGTAAAACACCATACTCCTTTATAACCCTACATTGAAAATAATGAAGACATTTACAGTTAAACAGATATGTATTGTATCCTATATGCTATGGGCTGGAAACCCTTGGTTTAGAGTCATTTTCAGTCATTAGTGATTTTTTGGTTACGTCTCCATGTGGCTTTATTTCAACACCATCTTTTTTAGCCCTTATCAAAGGCCAGATATTTCTTGTGACACTAAAACTTAAACTTATTGTGCATTTGCAGAGTGCTACAGTATGTGCCGTGTTCTTGATCTGGACACATCGCAAGGGTGTGGTCGCGTCTGGTCCAACCTTCGGCAGAGCTCCTTTAATATTGTTCAGCACCCGTACTTTAACAACTTCATCTTCTTCATTGTCCTTGTCAGCAGCACAGCCCTGGTAGGGACCTCACAGTTTCTGAAATCAAATATAATTTTTCCATCAGTATATTCATTGTGTCTTCACATGCAAGAATTTAGCGTCATTCTTGTGCATTTCTGTAATTTATATTATCTGAGACCAATAGGCTGTATATGGACAATGCTAACCTGCTAGCTCTATGAAGCCCAATAGGCTTGCTTTTGTTGAAAAGTAAACTCCTCTTACTTTGCAATGAAAATTTTGGATTTAAAAATGTGGTTTTAATTATAATAATGTAAATCCAGTTATGGGCCCTAGCAACTGACCAATCAGGAGCCTTTTGTTCCCGAATTTGCCTTTATCTGGAACGTACCATCACTCGTGAATGGCCTTTGATTGCTTCCCATATTTCTTGCCCATAGAGCCAGTCCGAGTATAGCTTCAATTGGCTTTTTTTTCGCAATAGGGTAAAATAAACACTATGAGTGACGTCAGCACTTGCAAGTCCACTCCGTCGATATCCTTCTGTCTGCTGATTGCCACGGCCTCCTGCTGTATTTACTTTCTAAAATATGAAGTTGAAATGCCATGAAGTCAATGCTTTCTTCTCCCCTTTGTCATCTTTGCTGGCAGGTGTGTGAGGACACAAACTTGCCAGCACTTCCGAAACTCAAAAAGTTCCTGGGACATCTGGACCAGGTGATCACTTACCTGTTTGTTCTGGAGGTGCTTTTCAAATGGATTGGACTCGGCTTCAAGAAATACTTCAGCAATGGATTTTGTTGGCTGGATTTCATTGTGACACTTGTAAGTAAGCAGATTTTGTACAGATAATATTTTTTAACATTTGTATTTTAATCAGAGGGCAGCAAAGTGGTAACAACAGGAAGATGGAGACACTAGAAAACAACCAAAACAAGAGCAAAATCAGGACTAAACCAGGATTAAACCAGGACTGTCAATGAGTGATGCAGTGCAGTTTTCACCCTGAGTTGACATTCTAATATTTATTTATTAATTAATTTCAGGCCAAAATAGGCAAAACAGTTGTTGTTAACTAAATGAAAACACTTTTTATCTGAAAGGGAGTAGGAAGAAAATAACTTATTGAAGAGATAGGATAAGATAAGATAAAACTATATTGATCTCACGACAATGCCAGTCGGACTCTACTTTTAAAAAGTAAACAGTAGCTAGCTACTCGTAGAAATTGGCGCCTCGCTATTTTATCAACAAGTGCATGTATGAGCGAAGGAAGACAGCCAATCACTGCGCAGAGAGATGAGCGAGTCACATGCTGCTTCTCCGGAGGAGCGAGGTGGAGGCACAGCGTAGGAACAAAATATTGGTGGGACATGTCCCCACGGTCCCCCTGCAAACCTATACCCGCTTGGTGCGAGTAGTGAACACCCAATTAAGTCAAGTTCACTGTAGCTGGACACAGTTTTGGCACAGAACGATACGTGAAACAACCAATCGATTGCAGACTGGTCCAAGTCACATGCACCAAGTATAAAAATAAATAGTTATAAAAATGAATATAATTTACTTAAGCAAAGTCATGTCTTTGAAAACAGATCTTTGTTCATTTGTCCAGTCAATGCGTACAGAGCCATTTCTATTTAAAGTATTTCCTCCAAATTAGTAACAGATGACAGCATTTTCTTTGTCGATCTAATTGCTGCATTTAACAGGCCTTAAAATTAAGTCCCCATCTTGCATTTATGTGAATGCTTTTCCCTGTTTCTCTCTAGGCTTGTGTTTTGTCTGTGGCTGCACAGACGTCTGAGCTGGGCCCTGCTCTGATCAGTCTGAAAGCGCTGAGGCCCCTGAGAATCCTCGCTCACATCAAGGGCACAAGGGTGAGGAATGGAATATATGCGTTTTTAAGGGAGACTATCCATCGTTTGGTTACATGCAAAAGTTATTAGCATCCCTTAAAACTGGAGCACAATGTTTTATCATGCACACACATCCTTTTAAAGCCTTCGAGCAGCCAAACACATCTGCTGCATTCTCCTCGACCACACCCTCAATTCAATTTATTTATTTTTGCATAGCCCTAAATCACATCAACAGTCATCTTGAAGAACTTGTAAACAACAGAACAGCTAAAAACAACTACCACTATTCATACTGGTCAGATTTGTCACTGCTAAAGTACAATATTATCCTGTAAACCTGTAATATCTGTAAATATGAAACCTCACTACAGAGTATACTACCCAAGTGTACTTATTTTTAACCCAAGTAGAATTAAGATAAGATAAGATATTCCTTTATTCGTCCCACAGTGGGGAGATTTCAGTGTCATCATTGTGCATATTACAGCAGAGAAAGAAGGAAATAAGAGCACTCAGATTGCAGACGTCAAACAGGGTCTAATATTTATGATAATAGACAGTATAATTGAAATAATACAAATAATAAATTAAAATATACTCTGGAACTATAATTGCGCTTGGTTCTGAAGTATTAACAGATGTGTATATTGTACTTTAATAGCACGAGAGATTGATATCTTTTTTTATTATCTTTATTATCTGTATTACTTCATAATCTTGTATCTTGAATAATACGCCCTGTTTGGTGTGATATTTTTACTAATATTTATACTTTTACCTAAATATTTAAGAGTAGTACTTAAGCTATTTCTAATTGTATGCCTTCAATTAGAATCATAAAAGAAAATGTATTGTAATTTCTCACTTCTAGTGCTGGTCATCTCTAAATAATCTTTCATTGATTTTTGACTAAAGAGATTAGTTCACATTTTTAAAGCATGCAAAGTATATTCTCAAAATCCTGTTTACTCTCGGCCTCTTTCTTGCAGCTGTGTGTGTCTGTGCTCTTGAGGATGCTGCCATCTCTTCTGGACGTGCTGCTGGTTACTTCCACAGTTTGGTTGTTTTTCGCCATCATTTGTGTCCAATTATTTGCTGGAACTTTTGAACACTGCTTCAACAAAACAAGCAATGAGAGGTTTTTTGCAGGAGATGTGGCAAATAGGTCTGAATGTTATGTAATTATGGAGGCCAACCAGACAGAGGTTGAATGGAGGAGTGTGCCCGTCAACTTTGATAACATTTGGTCTGCTCAGCTCGCACTCTTCTCAATGGTAAGTTTAGAAATGATATGTAGATAAATCCTAATTCTTATATTTTGTTTGTCCCAACAGAAAGTCTTGTAAGTCTTGTAACAAATCAGACCACTTCATGCTGTGTTTATCTTACTAGAAAACATCTTTTTGCATGTTTGTGTTACTATTTGACTCTTTGGGCTGAGTGCTGATTGGCTGAGAGAGGGTGGTCCTCTACTATTCATGTTTCTGTATGTAATGAAGAAGCAGAAGTGACAGAGGCCAAAACACATGCAAAAACTAGTGCGAAACAAAACATGTTGGGAATAAGTAAATAATTTTTTTCTGGTTTGCAAGTCAGATTCTCCAACTTTAAGCTAAATAAAGGGAAGGAGTATGCATAGCTGGCATGTTTGCAGCAACAGTGCAAAAACTTAAATAGAAAGATATAAGGCAAACCTAACAGACTAGCAACCCAAATGTTATCTTCATTCTGATCTCTGATTGCATACGGCAATTTCAAAATGTAAACATTATGTATTATGGACAATATTAATTGTGTTTGGAATAAATAACCTCACTTTAAATTGTTGGCCAGAAAAGGTCAAATATGATGTGTTCATGGTGACCTATCATCAGGGGACACATAAAAGTAAAATAATAATGTTATATGTATATATATATATATATGACAATAATTTACAATATATGTGTGTGTATGTATATGTATATTATTGATTGTATTCATTTGTACTATTTTGTCTTTTTCAGGGCACCCTTAAAGGCTGGCTGGAAATAATTTATCTTGTATCAGATTCTAAAAGGGTGAGAAACAAGGGAATGGACACTACAAAGTTTGAAAGCACAGACCAGCTATGTGCTTCTAAAAGTTATTAACACATTAAACTGAAATTCAAGTTCTAAGTGCGCATTAAGCCTGAAAACAACCACGCAGTATTTTGTATTTTGATTTTTTTCAAACCCACTTTGAGGAAAACTAATCAAGGTTTCTGCAAAGACTTTTAAGGACTTTTTATCATCGCAAATTCTCAAATCATGTATTTGCACATTTACAGCTGAAACTCTGAAGATTGAATATCAATCAACATTTCTCAAGCCTGTATTTGTTGTAACGTTGATAACTGGCTCACAGCTTGTAAAAATCTCAAGCAAAACATCTCAGAAAACTAGAATATTTTGCAAATAGACTGTACGCCATAATCATCGACATGGTAATAAGCATATCTCACTTTGCATGTGATGAGTCTGAATTGCAGAAATAAATGAAACTGAATTCTAATTTTGCAAGTTTCCCCTGTATACGAAAACAATGATGTAACTTTCCAAGACATGAAAAGCAAAAGTAAGGTTATATCTAAGGTCCAAATAAATACAAATGATGCATTATATATTGCAGAATTGAAGCACCTGCTGAAACCTTGATGAATGTTATTGTAATGTAGGGCTCTTGCCACCAATCTAGAATAAAACCACATCTTACACTTATTTTCCATGTTGCAGATTGAAGATCAACCTGAATTTGAGAGCAATGTTTACATGTACAACTTCTTTGTCTATTTCCTCCTGTTTGGCGGTTTTTTCTGCTGCGTCCACATCCTCAAAGTGCTGTTAGAGGCATACAGCTCACAAACACAAAAGATAAGTGCAATTTTCTCAAAATTAATCTTGTGGGAAGGAAAACGGCTCAGCATTTAACATGTCCCTATGAAAGTATGTTTATAGTCCACGGTATTTTTTTAGGCAGGAAAAAAAAAAAGCCAAGACTGTGTCACTGCTTACATGTTAGTCAGCTGAAGTGACACAAGGGACAATACTTTGCATAATAACCCTGGAACAAGCCATGTTACCGGAACGGAGCTATTCCCATCGCTGGGCATTTGCACAAGCTGCTCTTTCCTTTATAAAGTTGTCCATGTTAGAAAATGTATTTGAAAATGTGAACTTGCTGTAGTCATATACAATATCTATACCACTATTCTTCTCTTGTGCCTGCGTGTTTGAAATAGATAATTAACAAATAATATTAGAAAATGAAGCCAAATCAATGTATTGGTTTAATCAGAACATAAACAAAAAGAAGCACTATGCAATAACTAAGCTCAAATGTCTGACTCTTACTAAAACTTTGAGGTGACAAATAAAGATTTTGTTTTGTTTATTTCAATTAAAACAAATTGTTGGATAAAAAAACAGTATGATATTATATGTGCAGTATTAAAAAACACATAGATATTGGTCCCTGAAGTCAAGTAAAAGGAAAAAAGCATACGGCAGTACTGAATAGGGAATTCATTGGTTTCCTTTAGATTTCAAATGTAAAAAAATGGCATAAACTGTGGTCATAACTTGAATATATAATAATAATAATAAATGGAATACATTATTTTTTCTTTACATAGGAGGATCACACTTGTTCTTGACTAAGGAGCAGCAGAAAAAATTCAACAATATCACCTTTTGTCCTAAAAGATCTTTGGCTCCATGCCCTCGTCCTCAGGTGAGTTCAACATCTACTTAAGAACTTAATTTCTTGTGCGGTACATGAGGCGACAGAAAATAAAACGTACAATCCATAGAATGAAAAATCACCTGCGTCCTCTGTTTTCTATTCTTTTAAAATATTGACCGTGTTTACAAAGCTATGGTACAGGTCAAATCTGAATCTGAACCCTGCTACTGTATGTAAACTTGGTTCTGATTGAGGTGTGAAAAAACAGAATGTTGTTGAGAATATCTGGATTAAACCGTTTCTACTGGGTCTACGATGACATGTAACATAAGCACCGGAAATGTATGTATTTAGATTTGGATGCATATAGGTGACTCACTTTGATCAATGAATGCAGTACAGTCCCTCTGCACGTGTGTGTCAGTGTTTTGATTGGATGGATGGATGGATGGATAGACATATAGCAGGAAACATAGTGTGTATAGTTAAAACAGAGAGTCTTGTGAAAGTCAAATACGAACCAATCAGACCACAACAAGCTGTCTTCGTATCATTAGAAAACATGTTATCTTTATGTATACCTGATATAATTAGCCTTGTTAGTCACTAAATGATTCTTTGGCCTGAGTGAGGATGGCATATTTTGCGGGGAACATTCATATTTTTAAAGGCAGGCTCAAGACGCACCTTTTTAGATCCACTTTTGATTAGTATTAATTATGTATTATTAGTGCGTTTTAGTTAATTTATTTATGTTTTTTGACACTTTTTATTTTGTTTTTTATTTATTTACTTTATCTATTTTGTCACTTACTATTGTTGTTATTAATATTAGGTAGCTGCCATTTTCTTTTTAGTCTCACATTAAAATGTTTTACTTTCTATTGTATTTGTTTAGTATCCCCAGTGTTTCCTCTGGAGGAGCCCTCTGCACTGGGAGTGGTGGTCGGTGTGGCTGCGGGGGTCAGAATCTTGGACCTGGCGGGGGCCTGGAGCCTCGGCTTCGTGTCTCCTCTGGGTCCTGTGTCGTCTCCTGTGGCTCCAAGCGGCTCTCTGCTCCTGGTGCAGATGGTTCCTTGGATGGCGCTTCTTCAGCTGGATACATCTGCACCCAGCCCTATATTTTTTTACCTATCTGATGTGACTTTATACTGTATATATGTGTGTGTGTGTGTGTGCGTGCGTATGTATGTGTGTATGCATGATGCGGGTGTATTGTTATCAATAAATGTGGTTTTGGGTGGGTCTTTGGGGCGGTGGGGTTTAGGGCTTGGCATATTGGATTGTTTTTAACTAAACTGTAAAGCACTTGTTGCATTATGAAAAAGCACTTTATAAATAAAATATGATTGATTTGATTGATTGATTTCACATTTTGGACTTGAAAAAGCCGATTGAAAGATATGACAGAAGCCAAAAATATATTCATGTGAAAACTAGTGAGGGAACCAAACTGTTTTAGCAGAAGCAGAAGAAGCATCAGTAAAACAATGCTGTAAGAGTGTTTTTGTGTCTTCTCCAGGGCCGAGTGCGTGGGAGGCTGTACGACCTGCTGTCTTGCGAGCGTTTTGAGTGGGTCATGCAGGTGTTTATCTTTGCGGGCACCGTGCTGCTGATGGTGGACAGTCTCGAAAAAACATGGCAGGAGGAACGTGTTTGGTCCTACTTTGTTTTAACACTCATGCTCATTTTCTTCCTGGAATCATTCCTCAAGATCTGCGCTTTCAGTCGGAGCTACTTCAAGGACAATCTCAACACCATAGACTTTGTACTGGTCGTGTTTTCACTGTTTGGTGAGACTTACGGATGATCAAATTATATATTATATTTAACACCATACAACAATGCTCTCTTCTCAGATATATACCTTTAGTTGTATCCTGGCTAATATCAGGAACTTTACATAATTATTTACCGCCCAAATCTGCTCCAAGGACTTAAAACCCATCTTATTACAACTTTCAAATTGAGATGTTAATATAAGTCCTGCACCAATCCTGCTTACAATCTTCTCCTTTTCCGATCATGTAAATGTTTAGATCGGGTCTATCTAAAACATATCGAAAACCTTTATTTGTCATGGAATGTGAGTCAGATCTTACCACTACGCCCGCTCTTAGTAAAATTCTTTAAGTGTACTGCTAGACCTTTTTTGTTAGAATTTGTCCCATTCTTACTGTGACTGTTTTTCTTATCTTTCAGGCATCTTTATAGCTGAACTTTTGTCCTTCTACTTCTTTTCCGTCAACTCTCTCCACCTTTTGCGCCTGGCTCGAGTCTCTCGGATCATCCACCGAATTCCTGGGACTATGAGGCTTCGTCACCTCATCGCTGCCTGGAAAAAATCTCTGCCTGCGCTCTTCAACCTCTCTTTGGTGCTTTTTGTACTTATCTTCACGTACGCCAGCTTCGGCACCTTCTTCTTTAGTCACATCAAGTACAATACTTCGCGAAACTTTGAGACTTTTGGAAACAGCCTGATCTTCATGTTGACAACTGTGACATGGGCAGGCTGGGATATGATGCTGTATCCCAAGGAAAACCCTGGAGCAGAATTCCAACCACAAAATGGGAACGCTGTGGCTTTCTGCGTCTCCTTCCTGTGTCTTACCTCGTACGTGGTGCTGCTGATGTTGCTTGTTCTTCTCGTGGACATGTTGAACATTTTTGGGGAGATGACTTATGACCCACTGAGTGCTCCGAGTTTAACTCACTTCTTCAAAAACTGGAAGAAGTTTGACCCAGAATCAACGCACTTGATCCAACGCAGGTGAATTGGCAAGCGCTTTCTCTCTCTGTGGCTTTATTTAAGATGGGGAATTTAACTTTCAAACCACAAAAATATAATTTATAATACAATCCAACTAACTGGCAAGCTCTTTCTCTCTCTGTGGCTATAGTTAAGCTTGTTTATGTAACCTTCAAACCACATAAAAAATATGTCTAATACAATCCAGCTAACCAGTCCCTTGGTCTAAAAACGGTTCTATCGCAGTTTTCACATGCATGCATATTTACCCATTGTCACATCTCACGCTCTCAACCCAAAGAGTCAAATAGTAACTCACAGGGTTCTGCAACATATATAATTTTTTCTAATTAGTTGAAGGTAGAATGTTGTAGTCTGATTTGTTCATAACAACATCTGTTATTACTAAAAATCTATAGTTAGGAGCACAAAAGCCTGGCCTTAGCCATCCGTAAACTCCAGTCAAATATAATTTCCCTGCATGTACCGTCTGGGTCTGGTGTCAGTGTCTGCCATTACATTGGTTGAATCCCATCCGACCAATCAGCGATCGCGGGATGCGGGTGTTGAATATAAAGTTGGCTGTTGTAGTTTGGTAATGGCGAAGAATGCGATAGTAAAGTAATCCGTTCTGGTTTTATCAAGAAATTGAAACCGGAGCAAGAGGAATGTTTAGCAAATGTAATTGCTGCCAAAGACTACTTTGCTACTCCCCACAGGCTCCGTTAGTGGCACAGAAGGAGATGACTAGGCTAAATGCTAGCGAGTCACTCGGGCGCATTACATTTGCCACGGTAAACTCAGATCCAATCGTTTCAATCTGCAAAAGGAGTTAACCCCTCCCACCTGTAGATGGAGCTCAATGGAGCTAATCCTGATCTTAGTACCAGCATCTTATAAGAGCTGGTGCACCAGCTTTTTGTAAATTATTACAGAGACAACTTATCTGACTTATCTTCATCTAGACTTGGCACATATGTCGTTGGTTGAAAAATACACGAGCAACCCAAATGAGAGATGAATTTGCGACATAAGCACATCAATACCAGGTTAAAAGCAACTTCAAAAAGTGGGTCTATACTAAGGACTTAACTATGTTGCAGGACTGTGCGGTTTTTTTGTACAGTGACAGAGTATTCCATAACTTGGGGGCATTCCTTTAAAGCTTGGGCTGCCACCGGCAAATACAGGAAAACACATGTATAGGTAAGAACTAAAAGAGAGGATTTTTTTCATTTAAAGTGTTAGTGCTGATGAGTGGACCTCAAAGCAGACAACAAATAAAATGAAAAACAGAAGTCGTCTCTGAGGATTTTACATCAGAGAATCAAACCCAAGAAATACAATAATAACAACCACATAGGAGCCATTGGTCCATAGGGAGCGGGATGAGTGTTGATTTATGTGCATAATTGTCCCAGATCATTACTGCCCTTAGATCCTCCTGCATTGGCTAGAAAGATATGGTAAAATCACCAAACTATACACCAAGTGTGACACAAATGACTGGTTACTGAGTGAGAGACGTTTTCTTTTCAATGTTAGTCAAAGGGAATATCATCAATACATTTTCTAAAAAAAGGTGGTTATAATATTTTTAATATTTTTTTTATTTTAAACCTGCACTATACATATTTTTACATATATCTATATAACAGACACATGTATGTATCTGAATTTCCTCTCACAGCCAGCTCCCAGACTTGTGTGACAAACTGAGGAAGCCTCTGAAGATCTCAAAACCATCTGATCTGGACCTCAGCCCCGAAGACCCAGTGCACTGCCGGGACGTCCTGCTGGCTCTCTCTGTGCAGGTAACATAGGCTGCACAAATATTTTATAAGCATAACATACCAACAAATATTGCAAGTTTCAAGTTCACTTGTGTGAATGAGGAAATACACACTGGAAAATAAAACTAGTATCAAAATAGGATACAGGGATGGACAAATTAGCCATGGCTATGAATGTAGCGTTTCACATTTTGATTGCTGACACCTATCCCTATGAGATAAATAAACTAATGCATTAAAAATTACTCAGTTGGGAAAAAAAAAACAAAAAATTGACAATAATGTATATTTTGATTGTTTTTTTGTTTTATGTTAGATTACTTAGATTTGTTTTATTGATTAGCTTGGTTGCCAGTAGCTCTAATTTATTGGGGAAAAGTATGTTGAAATTGACAGGAATTAGATATGAGGTGTAGAACAGATGACATCACACTGGGGATACTCCCTGGTTCTGGTCAGGGCTCGTGCTGCAGCATTTTGAATTTACTGCAGCTGTTTTCTTTCACCTTTGGAGAGACCAGTGAGTAGCCAGTTACAGTAGTCTAATGAGAGACACCTGGGTTTTGCTGTCATCAGGCAAGACCCTTGCCTAGTGTGAGTTTGGTGCGTGTGTATACATAATGGATACAGTCGTAGTTTATCCCCACTGTGTATAGAGTGAATGAATAATGCCATGTTAAGTGCCTTTGAGCATCCAAAAAAGCTATATTAAACTGATATTATTTACTATATTATTTATATACTGTTGTATTATTTATTATATAAATGTGTGTACATTGTAGGATTTTTGTGACTAGCAAACAGAACCAGTAAGTAATATTATAAATCTTGAAAAAAATGTTAAAATGTGTCAAATCAAAGTTATAATGTTGACTGTATTTTGAAAAGTAAAATCTGATCTGTCTTGGGCACTTCAACACACATTGTTTTTTACTGTTTATGTTTCAGGCTTTGGAAGATTCTGGAGACAGAGAAGCTCTCCGGGCCAGAATCGATGAGAAGTATCTTGAGTTTATGCCCAATGGCCCTTCACAGGTGAGTTTTCGGTTTCATCTTATTTGATTTCTTTCAATACATAAACACATACATTCATACATTTATAAATTCTTGGTTGTTCCTTTATACAAAACCAAATCATAATGAAGATATCAGTTGAGCTTGTATATTGTATTTCCAGGAAAACAGTTGCACTCTGCAAATGAACCAGGAAGAAGCGGCGCACACGATTTGACAAACTATTCAACCAACACTTTTTGATTATTTTTTCCTTTAAACCCCTAACACTAACAGTTTACTAATGACAATACTAAACTATGCTTGCACATTTCACTGGTAGACTGGTATTTGTGATAACATCATAAACAGTATGAGAAAAGGAATAATTTAAAGCATGTTTGCAGTTTTGAATTTATTGTTTTGCATTTTTTAAACCAGTCAACTCTGTATTGTGAGATTGTGTCTTATTACCTTTATTCTCCTTATGCAATTTTCTTACTTGGACAGTATATTCTTTAATGCTAACTGACATAATGAAAGTAACCTTTTTTTCTAGATGAATGTATGAATGCTACTAAAAATGTTTGTGCAAATGTTTGTTATTTACTGAATACTTGCTATCCATTATAATTTGCAAATAAAGTCTTTTTAAAACGTGATTTTCTGGATTTCTTTCCTTCTCATTGCTGAGGTATAAATTACTGGCACCTTTCCATTGCAAAAACGGTTATCTTTGCTTTAATTTTCTTATGTCTAATGTTGTGTATAACACGTCTTCTTGCGTCTTATATTTTTTGAGTAAAACTTACAGAAAGTATACTATTACTCAGGAATATTGCAACTGATGTCAAAAAAACCCTTGACAGACGTGTTCAAAGTTGATGCAGAAACAAGACAAAGATTTTTCCAAGTGTAACATCTGTATTTAATTTATCTTTACAATCAGATACAGAAATTCAACCAAGAGCTCCTATGCTACCTATGTCCCTGGCTCGCCCTGTGCTGACTGCCCTCAAAGACCTTCAGGAAGGTTAATGTAGGAGACTTCCGATGACGTAATCTCTTTGCGCCTCCCAAGGGTTTTTCTTTCCGGGTGTGCTGGCGTCCCCTGTCCACTGGGAGGTGTCAGAATGCCGTTGGTGAATCTCCCAGTCTGCCTGGGAGATCAGGTTCTGAACTTTTGCCCTCGTCAAAAGAGGGAGAGAGCATTGTTTATTCATGGAGTCAATAATTGTCTGGTTTTGTAGGCTGGTATCTTTATGATTCCTGTACTATCTTGTGTCCTTGGGGTTTTTCCTGAGTGCTCATTCTTTGTCTGATGTGCAGCCTTTTGGGAATATTCCTCACAGCATAATTCATATGTGTTTATTATATGTTATGTTTCTATATAGCTACAAAGGGTACATTAAAGTGTAATTTTCTCTCGAAATGCATCCTCCCCATGGCCACCTATGATCTGATCTACAATAAATGCCTGCTGGTACTGTATTCATGAAAAACAGCCCCCAGAGTGGAACGGAACAGATACGCTGCCGCGAGAAAAAAAGGAGGGGATTCTCTGCCTGTTATGACATGCGCAGTAGCTGAGAACAAACGTAAACAACAATGGCAGCGGTTCAACTAACTACGTATAAGATAAGAGATCCTTTATTTGCCAACTTGAAATTTCAATGTTCAATACTTCTTATATATACATTATTTCAAAAGTATATATATACTGTATAAATGTAGTGCAGAGTTATATACTGTAAATATAGGGCAAGATAATGAGTAGATAAAATAAAGTGACATTGTTCAGTGGACACTCTGAAGTTGCAGTATTGCATATTGCACATGATTATAGTATTTACTTATTTACAGGAGAATGACATTTATAGGCTCAGCAGTTCTCATTGTACAGTCTGACAACAGCAAGAAGGAAAGACCTGTGGAACCTCTACTTCACACAGCAAGGGTGAAATAGTCTGTCACTGAAGCTGCTCTCCAGAGCAAAGAGAGTGTCCTGCAGGGGGTTATGGTCCAGCATTGATGTTAGTTTGTCCAGGACCCTCCTGTCCTCCACCTGCTGCACTGTGTCCAGGGAAAAACCCAGGACTGAGCTGGACTTCCTGATGACCTTGTCCAGCTTCTTCCTGTCCCTCTCTGTGATGCTGCTGCTCCAGCAGATCACACAAGATGGCTGCCACCAAAGAGTCCTAGAACTTCTTCAGGAGTGGCCCCTGCACTCCTAAAGACCTGAGCCTCATCGGCAGGTATCGTCAGCTCTGGCCCTTCTTGAAGCGGCCGTTTGTGTTATGAGTCCAGTCCAGTTTGTGGTTCAGATGAACACCCAGGTACTTGTAAGAGTCCACTCTCTCAATGTCCCTTCCCTGGATGTTCACTGGAGCTGGAGCGGCAGAGTGACGTCTACGGAAATCCACCACCATCTCCTTGGTCTTCCCCGCGTTGATGAGGAGGTGGTTCCGCTGACACCAGTCCACAAAGTCCTGTATAACTCCTCTGTACTCTGCGTCATCATCCTCGGAGCTGAATCCGAGGATGGTAGAGTCGTCGGAGAACTTCTGTAGAACACAACCGTCCGTGTGGTGTCTGAAGTCCGCAGTGCAGAGGGTGAAGAGGAACGGCGCCAGGACAGTACCCTGGGGGCCCCCACACTGCAGGTCAGAACCTCAGACAGTCCCTGGTTCTCACAAACTGGGGTCTGTCTGTGAGGTAGTCCAGGATCCACTCAGACAGATCACAGTCCACTCCAGCTGTCTCCAGCTTGTCCTTGATAAGCCATGGCTGCATGGTGTTGAAGGTGCTGGAGAAAGAAGAGAATCCTCACAGTGGAGCAGGATGATGATGGTGCTACACGGAGGAGAATTCTACTCCAAACGAAACTTCCATTTTCGCAGCTACTGTTAAATGCAGAATGATGTTGGTGCATTCTTTGCGGTGGCCTGAGGAGGATGTTATTGAGGAAGTGAAGTTGCGTGTGTCATTTTGTAAAGTTCCACTGTTCTGGCAACTGGCCACTACTAGCCGGACACTAGAACTACAGTTTTTCGTCGCCATTTTTACGCTGTGCAGGAGCCTGGTTGTTTTTTCTAATCGCGTCTCAGTCTAAACCGGGCCTTATAGGCGTAAAACAATTCCTGTCCCCATGCCCCACCCAAAAGAGTTGGGGTGTTCCTCTCCGCTGATTGGTCAAACATACATCTTGGAGTGATTTTAACAAAGGAGTAAATAATAAGTATTTAAAGTAGTACTAGAATTTAATATGCTGCTATCCAGAATATATAACTACAATATGTGTTTATAATATTTTGGGTGTTCATTTTGATATGTTCAGATGAATTATGTTAAAAAAACAGCTTTGAAGCCGGACCTTTTCACAAACGCTAGGGGGGGCCAAAATGGCGGCGATGACGTAGGAGAAGGACCTCTCACAGCAGCAGCAGCAGTCTTAGCTGGAAACTGTAGGAGGTTTCACTGTCATCTGAACAAGGTATAAACATATTTTCATCTGTTCTGTACATAATAGTGTGCAACTCTTTTAACCTTTTAGCCTTATTTGTGAGATTCAAGCAAACTAGTGTTGGGCAAGTTAGCTAACTCTACTTGATATCATAAAACATGCTAACAAGGCTAATATTCGTTTTTACATTATGCCAGTCTCACTTTGGTTGCCTTAGATTTATTTACCACAATGTACATTGTAATATCCATAAATGCTAATCAAAATAACTTGAATTAAATAAATATTTTACTTTTATGAACAAAAAGCTGCAGAAGTTGAAAACATAGACTACATGTGATGCAATCATTGATAAAAATGCTAATTAAACCATTAATAGTGTTGTGTGCTAACCTTATTACTAAATTAGATACTGCACTCTGAATTGAATCATGACCAGGTATTCTTTTAGTTGCTTTATTTTTAACCATGCGGACCATCAACATGCTACTCTTAAGACATCCGTATAAAACCACCTCCCGCTCATACGTCATCACGTATAGACGTAATCGGACGTCAGTACATGACATCCCCTTTTTCCTTTGGAATTAATGTTTCCCATAACATACTTTTCCTTTTTACATTACATCACCTTCTTGTCTTATTTCTAACAATGTTATTTCTAACAACACATGAACATTTTATTTTATAACAATAAACCTTTTACTTGTTTTCATTTCTATCTTATTTATTTCACCACAAAATTACGAAACCTCTCTGGTGTCTTTTTTGCCCTCGGGGGTTTGTTTGTTTGTTTCTCCAGTTCTTGAGTGCCCTCTTGTGGTGTTGGAGTGAAAATGTCAACATTTTTATTTACGTCACTTTCCTCCCTTTCAGGTATTGAGTCTTGTCCATATTGTTCTTCGTTGGTCTCATGCGTCACATACTTCTTTACATGTGTTGTGTTTCGGTGATAACGTGCTCCAGTTGGTGATTCAACTACAACTTGGTTTCCAGTTTTGCTCACAACTTTGTGTGGTGTTGCATTAAACGGTGTTGTAAACTTGTCAATTTTGTCTTGTTGAACCAGTACGGTGTCTCGTATGTCCACTTTTGAGTATTGAGCCCCTCTTCGTTCATCAGCATATATTTTTGCCTTTCCTTTTTGTTCAGCGTCTCTGTCACGTACATCCAAAGCAGAAGTTTTCATCTCACAAATGTCCGGTAACTTTCCTCTCATTGTCCGATTAAATAGGAGTTCTGCTGGACTTTTTCCTGTGATTGGATGTTCAATGCTTCGATAAACTGTGACATATTTCCTCAATTCACGCTTCCAGTCAAGTCCTTCAGCTTGTGCAATCCTGATTCTTTTCATCAGAGACGCGTTTTGGCGCTCGACTTCTCCATTGGCTTGAGCCCATTTTGGTGTTGTTCTCACATCCGGTAATAGTGTATTTCTCAGTGGTTCAGGTGGATCGGGTCTTGCTACTATTTGACATCCATGGCAGGCTTTACAGTGTTTTTCTGCAGCTCTGTCCATGCCAGGCCACCATACTTTTGTTCTGAGATGTTGTTTGGTTCCAACAATTCCCAAATGTCCTTCATGAGCTAGTAACAGTGCTTTAGCTCTGAGCTTTTCCGGCAATACAATGCGAGTCCCTCGTAAAACTATGTATCCTATTACACACAGTTCATTTGCAATAGGTGCGTATATTTTGCATTTGTTCAAAATGTCCATTTTCAATTGCTTGTCGTACTTCAGTTAACTCCGAGTCTGTAGCTGAGGCTTCTTCAAC